TGCTTAGTAGGGATCCATTCCCCCATTCCCTACTAAGCACCTGAGAGAAGTTCGGAGTTGCGGGCGGGTCGCCTTTGTTGCGTTTTCCGTCCGCAAACTCCCTCTCAGCTAGCCGCCTTACCTCGGGGCCTCCACTACTATAGGGGCCTTACTTTGGTGACGCCGCGGGTTAGGAAGTTAGCAGCAAGTTAAAACACATTTATTTGCAAGTTAAAATGAAGTTAGAGATGGACTTATAACTTATTTGCAACTCGCTAACTTGTTGCTAAGTTTGTTGATGGTTTTTCTGCAGTTACAGACACTCAATCGTTTTTAGCTGGAATTGGCCTAACTCAACCGACAGAAGCAGTCAAATGAAGAAGATTTCGTTTTGTCCTCAGCACACGCCAATGCCACTAATGGAAGAGTGGGGTACTGGAGGCTGCAGTACTTGCAGACGGTTTGCTGCTTTTCGCTGGGTTCTGGAAACTGCAGTGCCATGGCTCGCGGGAGCACAAGGACCCAAAAAACAAAAGGCCGGTCTTTCAAAAAAAGGCTGCTGGAGCAACAGCGGCGATTGCGAGAAAGCAGCAAATGAAGCATGACGGCACCCAGCCCGGCGGACACATGGCATTGCTGACCGCGGGAGAACGGCGGACACCGGCGGACAGGCGGTTCCTATGACAAGGCCCTGGATTGTAGACCGGCGGACACGGGCGGACAGGGACATGCTCCTACACGGCTAAAGCAAGGGTGCGGCGGACACATCCGGCGGACACTCCTCCGGGGAGTCTTGGGACCCGGCGGACACAGGCGGACACGGGCGGACATTTGGCGGACACAGGCTTTTAGCCGAATTGCAGCTTCTTTTGACCGCGGAGCTAATAGAATTGCTTCCGCAGATTTGCTTAGATTGGCAGCCTGCTTGCTTTGGATGTCAGGGAACTGAGGCAACGTCTTCACCCCCATAAGGAACATCTAGGCAGCTGTAATTGCCCTTTCCAGTTTTTTGTCGACATGGCCGCCACAATGGCCGCCGCAGTGCTACCCTGCTCCTTGAGAAATGGCTACATTTCAACATATCTATCCTAAATCGAATCTTATCGAAAACACCTTCAAAAACCCGTGGTCGTGCAGCAAACATGCAAAATTTAATGAAAACGCTAAGTACGCTAACTTCTTGCTAACTTTTTTACTGCTCTACCCTAACTGCCCGCTAACTACTCAACTTCTCGATATCTACGTGTTTTGCTAACTTAAGTTAGCAAAACTTATAAATCAGTTAACGTATTTACAATCCAAGTTAGTGGCTTATTCAGCACTTGTAACTAAGTTGCAACTCTGTATGTCCTAGGCGACACCAAAGTAATAATTACCTATACTATGGTGGGGTTCCTTATTAGAAGTATAGTATAATGGGCCCCAAAACCTTTTTCAAATTATTAGGGCCCCTACAGTGGACCCTAAAGCGAGATGAGTGATTGCCTTCTTTCTTCAGGCCTTTGTCTTGGGGCTTTAAGGTTTGCAAGGTCTAGGCCTTTATGGGTGTGCGTTGACGGCTTGGAGTTCATTTGGCAAATCCGGCGTTTTGTGCGGGAACAGCCTCACATGGCCCTGTAGACGTCAAATCACCAAAGCAGATATTCCGTTTTCAGCAAGGACTCTGCAACAGAGACCCGGAAAAGACGGATCCTTAAGCAAAATTAATCCTTAAAATAGGAAGCCTCCGTTCTAAGAACCTGGATTTCGCAGGAGGTGTCAACCCTGATTCTCAGTATGTTTTGGGGTGTAGGAAAGGGTCCGATCCTGCTGGTTGAGGGGACTGCAAGATAAAATTATTGAAGGGTTTAGGCGTTTGTTTTAAGGGTGATCTGCTTTCACCGGGGACTGAACTTGCTGGAATGACCAAGCTCCGTTTTCCCTGCAGGGCGAGACGCTGGTCCAAGTTATGATGGCTTGGATCATGCTCACGCCGCAACCTCGGCCATCCTGCCCACACGCCGAAACAGCTACCCATAGTCTCCATTGTAGTTCCTTTTTTGGTTTAACCAAATATGTATTTAGGATCCTATAAGGTAACCCCAAAAAAGGAACTACAATGGAGACTACAGGTAGAGTAGATCATGTGTAGCATGTAATTATATGTAGAGCCCTTAATATGACTCCGAACACAGACTGGTACATGGTGGGGGCAGTACTTACGCTATCCCCTACGGGGGCGAACTCTAAGTCCAAAACCTTGAACCGTCAACCCTGAACCCCTGAAACTACAACCCGTGTCTAAACTCCGAATCCAGAGACGGCGCCTAAACCTTAAATCCCAAGCGCTCAAAACAAGCAAGCACAGAACTCGTGACGTGTGGAAGCCGGAAAGAGCTTTTTCTTCACCCTGAAATCGAAATCTTCTTTTGAGTTGTTCAAGACGAGTTTTATGGTGTGTTCACAACAGCGAACTGGTAAGAGACCCAGCAGATTTGCAAGATTACCTGCATAGAGCCAGCGTCGAACCGAGTAGAACCCCTTCGGAATCCCTTTGAAAGAGCCCTTGGTAGTGTTTCCGAAAAGGGGACCCCAGGCGTGTGCCTGTATATGTACTCCAACACTTTTAGGCCTAGTAGTCGAGTAGGTAACCTTTAACCTTTTTCGGGTAGTATAGTCCCATATAGCCCCTATGTAACCAAGAAGGTTAACCTTTAGTTCCCCATGATACAAATAGATTGGCGAAAGTATACACCACATAGGTACATGGACTTTCTGAAGCTTAGTATAATGTATAGCCAACCCTGCCGCTTCTGTAATGAAACACATGCAGAGCCCCGCAAAGGAGCCTTTTAATGCATGGACCGTCCAGGAGGCTACCTGCTAAAACACTCTACTTTCCAGAGATCAAACCTCTAGACGCTAGGTAGGGCAGAATCGCCTTATATAGTACTCTAATTAGTAGGATCCTTACTATAGGGACCCCAGAATAAGGTACCCCTAATTTTCGGAAACTCTCATGAAGATTCTGTTCGAAAAATGGGCCCACAAAGGAGCTCGGACTTAGGCTAGGCCCGACTTGTTGCTGTCGCTGTGTATGGTCCCTTCTTGCAGCAAGCTTCTGCTCCGACGTTAAAGTACCTGCGAGAATCGGAAGCACCAGATCTTCATCATTAACGGTTTTCCTCATCCTCATCAACTCCTCCACCTGATCGTCAGAAGACGAAGAAAGATAGACCAATGCCCGGGGCCCACCCTGAACTCCTTGCTTTAAGCCGTATAATGCTAGCACCACTGATTTAGTTTTTGAGGGCTATGGGTTTGTTGATTTACAGTAGGATTTATGAAGTTTGGGGTTTGGTTTGGGGCTCAAGGGCCTCTAGGTTTAGTTTCTTCCAGGCCGCGGGTGGTGCCGACCATGAAGAGAGCCTGGCTAGTTTGGACTTGATCTTTAGGGTTTAGGGTTCAGGATGGGTTAGGGGGTTTACGTAAATAGTAGTTACGGTTGTGGGGTACAATAGAGGGGTAGTGACTGATGAGGCTTGGGGGATGCATCATGTAGATTGTGCATCTTGATTTACAGGTGGTTAGGGTTTAGCATTTAGGGTATGTAGTTTTGGGCCAGAGCATGAACTGCATTACGCGCTGAAGGCCAGGCCACTCGGGATTTCGTGTCCGCGCACATGGTGTTTCTGGCACAAGGTTCCAGGGTTGGTAGTTGGTGGATAGGGGCTGTCAAATTCCAATAATATGTAGCGTGGGGTTTCAGTTCCGCACTTTGAATTGCAGAATGCTTGACGAAGTTGCACATGTTGTTCCTGCTGGTGGAAACTGAACTTAACAATATGCAGAAGCAACCGTGAGTCATCGTCAGGTTGGAGTACGGTTCACCGTAGCAGAATGTAGGCTGCTCTGCTAGATCTTGCCCTCTAAAACCCAAACCTAAACCCCAAAGCCAAGGACACCCACGCCTGAACCCTAAACCCCAAACCCCAAACCCTAAGCCCCAAACCCTAAACCTAAAACAAAAATAACCCTAAGCCTGCCTTCCAAGCAGATTGGTCGTGATGTGATCTGCATTCTGGGAGGTGACTCTGACGATCCTTCGGGCAATGCTCATCCTAAAGCAGATAATAGAGCGGCTTTAACAGTTAGAACAGGGTTTTGGGGCCTGCTGTGCTATAATTATCATAAGGAATGTTTTAATTATTGGTCATTATTTGGGCCTGTTTTGGAGTGTAATACGGGATATCTCATTGGTGTCTGCATGAGAATCCCTGTGCTAGTTCTGGAAGACATCGCTGTGAGAGCGTTGAGCCTCGCTCATTGCCCTCATCGTCACCATGACCTTCGTCATGGTCACCACCATCAAACCCCAAGGGTCCAAAGGACCCAATAATCAGGTACTCGGGTTTAGGATAGTAGTTCCGTAGGTTAGGATTTTGGAGAGTATATACCCTTGGGGCAACAGCATTATCAACAACATTGCCATTACCCCGAGAGCAACAGTCACGATCGTGATAACTAGCGTGGGCCCTTGCAGAGATGCGAGGCAAATCTGATTCGGAGTTCAGCGTTGTTTTTGCTATGTTCGTGTGCTTGCAGCAACAATTTATCTTGAACACCTGTGCTGCATCATTCGGTTGCTCTCGGCCGACAGCAAGTGAGTTATGGGACCGTCAACCACCAGCACCCAACAGCCGCATTCGCAAATATCAGTGCGCCTGACTGAAATGACAAACTCGTTTTAAGTGCTACCCGGCCCTCTGTCACTTAATTCAGAACGTAGGATTTGGGCAGTCAGATTTGTTCGAAGGGGCTTTAATCATAGGTTGCCACCTGGAAGCTGCGAGTGATAGCAAAAACTAGAGCCTTCACGAAAGCAACATGGATGGCTGGTTGTCAAGATTATGGTCCCTTTTTGGGTACCTTAAGTATTAGGTGCCGTATTATAGTAAAGGGGGCTCTAATTGTCACAGCCACCCGGACGGAAGATTCCGGCCGGCTTTGGAAGCGGATGCGACTCAGTTCAGAGCGGCTTGATGGTCTCAATCGCGGTGCCTTTGCCTACATATGAAGAGCAGATCTAGTTTCGGAGGTTCGTGTAACCGAGTTTCCATCTTGAAAGTTTCTGGTCTAGGGTCAAAGGCTTTGATTTGAGAGACAGAGAGGTTTCCAATCTCGATGTAACATTCATGAAGCATGCTCAGACCTCGATGCAAGAATCCCCGCACCTGCTACATGTTCACCCCGCTGTCTTGTGTTCATTGCTTCCAGGCTTAGGGTGGAGGGTATGGGGCTTGATGCACAGTCGGCTTCCACTATTCTGAACCATGCTCGGAAAGCCCGAGACTCTGAATATAAAGCGCAAGCCCCCAACGTCGTGAGTTGAAATCGGGGGGCAGGCGGGTATGACTCCTAACTGCAGGCTGAGCCCTGGACCCGGAATCCGTAAGTTCCTGCCCTGACCCGACATGTTCATGTTTAAAGCCCGACGCCTGATGGATCAGGTGGTACATGTATGTATGTCTAGATTAGATAGTTTATAGACGAAGATCCCTACACAGACGCGTGGCCAAAGCCTGCAACTCCTATATTCCCTGTGCGACAAGGGCTTTTATCATTAAGCAGGATTTTGGGTTATGTAATTAATGCTATGCTTGAAAGAAGAGACCCTGAGGAATAGTACTTGGCATAGTTTTCCAGGCTTCTATACCTTAACCTACCAAACCCTACTTTTCTGTAGGTTCTCATTATGAAACCTAAGATGGAGTTTATAGGCACAACAGTGGTTGGTAGGTTAAGGTATTCAGCATCAGCTTGAAGCCCTTAACCCTTGGAGCCTCCACACCCTCAGGCCCGCTCCGGCCCAAAGTATAAGGTTTAGGGTTTATCGGGTTTAGGGTTTCGGGTTTATAAAGTTTAGAGGGTTTAGAGGGTTTCGGGTTTATAAAGTTTAGAGGGTTTAGAGGGTTTAGGGTTTAGAGGGTTTAGAAGGTTTAGGGTTTAGAGGGTTTAGGGTGTAGAGGGTTTAGGGTTTAGAGGGTTTAGGGTTTAGAGGGTTTAGGGTTTAGAGGGTTTAGGGTTTAGAGGGTTTAGGGTTTAGAGTGTTTAGGGTTTAGAGGGTTTAGGGTTTAGAGGGTTTAGGGTTTAGAGGGTTTAGGGCTTAGAGGGTTTAGGGTTTAGAGGGTTTAGGGTTTAGAGGGTTTAGGGTTTAGAGGGTTTAGGGTTTAGAGTGTTTAGGGTGTAGAGGGTTTAGGGTTTAGAGGGTTTAGGGTTTAGAGGGTTTAGGGTTTAGAGGGTTTAGGGTTTAGAGGGTTTAGGGTTTAGAGTGTTTAGGGTTTAGAGGGTTTAGGGTTTAGAGGGTTTAGGGTTTAGAGGGTTTAGGGCTTAGAGGGTTTAGGGTTTAGAGGGTTTAGAGGGTTTAGGGTTTAGGGATGTCATCAGGTGGAACGCTTGCAAGTTCTGCAGCGTGAGGGAGCCTCGGCCGAGCTAGTGTGTGGATTTGAGGGGTTTACCCTAAGGCTCTAAGGACATATATATATATATATATGTATATATATATATATATATTAAGGCTTTTAAGCCCGAAGACCATACAATATAAGGCTTTTGGGCGATTTTGAGCCTAAGGGTTAGAGTTTAGGGGTTTAGGGGGGCTTATGCAGTGTCTAGGGTTTATGGGGTTTAAGGGGTTGGGGGTAAGGGTTTATGTAGGGTTTTGGGTTTCGGGTTTGGGTTTTTTTGGGGGGGTTCGGGACTTGGCGGCGCAGCTATATTTGCTGCATGGTGCCCGCCCCGATTTTTTCGGGAGTGGTTGGACAGCTGGTGGGGCAACATTCATTGTTCGGACGGCGGGCATTGGATACGCGGGTGGGTTCGGATGGAGTTCAGAATTTGGAGCTGGGCGGGCAGCCAGGAGGACCTAAAGCGCGCCATGGCGCCCGAGTTGCTGCCATGTCACGGGTGGATTTGGTTTAATTAAGAGCTTTGAACAGAATTCGGCACTTGTGTATGGGTCCCTGCTTGGGATCTTGTACGGGTGCCTAATGCGGTTACTGTAGGGGTTTAGTTTAAGGCTTGTCACTAATGAAGCTGTTTTGAAACAGGATAGGTTAGAGGCTAGCGGACATACAACTGCAAGGGTAAATATTGAGCTTCAATCACGTTATTCTACAGTTCTAATGAGGATCCCCCAAAATGGTGTAGGTAACTATGAAGGCCCCTATAGTAGCTCGATGTCGCGACGTGACATCAATCGAGACCCCAGCTCCTTACACAGCAGACCCTGGCATTTGTGAGTGACACGGGTTTAGGCTGTGGTCTTGCCACTTTTGGTGTTTCTCTGACTTCCCGGCACCCGGAGCTCTAAACTAAAGTCAGAGCCCTGAACCCCGAACCCCTAAACCCTATACTATAAACCAGAACCTAAAGTAACCCCAACTCGACACTCCGAAGTCTATAAAGCGGAATCCTCACTCCTACGCGCATCCCTAAAACCTACCTTCTTTAGGCTGCCGGCGTGAAAAAACCCACGTGAAAAGCCAACAGAGCATGAGCCCCAAAGCCTCACCTCAACCTGAATTAGTTTGGGTTTAGGGCTTAGGGTTGAGGGTTTAGGGTTTAGGGTTTAGGGAGCCTTAAAGCCCAAACCCGCATAAAAAAAAAAAAAAACGTCTACCAGGATCGGCCGACGCTGCCCAGTGCCGGTCGCTGCTACAGGAACTCCGGACGTTGGGTGTTTGACAGAAGGGGTCGTGGTTTTCCTTCTATTCAGGGCTGTCGGGTTTGGGTTAGGGGTTTCATGCTTTGGGAGTTGATATTCAGGGTTTTTAGGTTGGGGGTTTTGGTGTTTGTTTCTCTTTTTTTTTTTGTGTGTGTGTGTTGTCTTTTTTGAACTTTGGATTTGCGGCTTGAGGCCCGGGAAGGGTGTGGTTCACTGGAGGGGCCAAGTGTTTTGAGGGACAGTGGTGCCAGGGTGTTACGGTATTGATTGCTTCTTGCTCCGGCGCCGTCCACTCAAGACGTACGACATTGCTGGTAAGGATGCTGACAGCATCCCTGTAGCATACCGTACATCTTACGGAAACGGGACGCTTGCAACGCACATCGCCTAGCTCAGCAGCATTTGCCTCAGTTTCAGCGCATGGGGGAGCCTTACAATTACTATTCCTTACCTATACTACTCTGAGGGTTCCTTGTTATAATTATCGTATAACTGGCCCCAAAACCCATGCTAATTGCTAAGGCCCCTCTACTAAACCTTTACAGTACCGCTTATAGTACCCCTTTTTGATGCCGTTTAAGGAACCCCTCAAAGGCCCCTACATTATGCGCCAGGATTTTTGCAGAGGGACCCGTCTTTTTCCTGCAATAGACGAGAAGACCACTATTTCTTATTCCAGCCACTAGAACAGCTGTCATCGTCGTCTTGCATGATCGTCTGTACTCCCTGCCGCAGGAGTGCTTGTACCTGGACGAAGGACGTCAGGGTTTTTCAGAAGCAGTCGTCTGTTCAGTCCCAGAAAGACTTGTTTCGGAGTTCCTAGATCAAGGGTTTTACAGAGGGGTCAGAATGATTAGTAATTCATGAGTCGACGCGTGTTTTTGCAAATGCCTGTTCCGGCTCTTGTTCAGGAACCTAGTCTTAAAGCAGCCATCGTGATAGTGAACATCAAACAAGCAGACAGACAGGTTGATACATACATAGCCGATACATATATACATAAGTGTGCACACACACACACACACTTGTAAGCATATATGTACATGCATAGATAGCAACGACCGTGTGTATACAGTGGAGGCTATGGTGACCTATGTGGCATAGACGATGCGTTGGTCTCCCATCAGATACTTCATGTCAAGATCCGCTTCTCAACGAAAATTCAGTCCTAAGTCGTGAGTTTCTCGCAGAAGGCAGGCCTTGAAACCCATACCCAAAGGCTCCATGTACCCATATAGTAGGGACTTAGGTTTTAAAGTGCCCATATAGGGACCCCCTTTTAGGCCTAAGTACCTTCTATTTGGGCGCATGGAGTATTACGGGTAAGGTCATGCTCCTCAACGGACCAACTGACCGACAACAACGCAGGCAGCGCTGAGACTAAGCACGTTGCTTTGAAAGATGCTACAGAAAGCATGTGCAACCTGTGCTAACGACGTTTCGGTCGGGTTCAGTTTAAGGAGGTGTCGTGCGACCCATATCGCATGGCATGCTGATGGACGAGTTGATGTTGAGAATGGTTCGTTTATGTTTATCAAGGCATTTATTAGGGTGGAGGGCCAACATGCGCAAAGAAGTATGCTGCCCTCGCTTTTGAATTGTAAGACTAAGTTCCTGAAAACGAAGAACACCCACGGAGACCATTTTCTCTGAACCCCCAGACCCCATGTCCTAAACCTGTAACTCTTAAACCCCAAGCTCAAATGCCCGAGCCTATCAAAGGCTCCACCAAGCCCTTAGACCACAGCCCGCCCCCCCCCCCCCCCCGTTCACTACCTAGGCGATAGACTGTCGTACCAACCAACCAACAGAAGGTACTACGGTTGATGATTTATGGGTCCTCACCTTAAGGACGAAATGAACCCTAAAAGGGTTTAAGGTTCATATACCATATAGGCATTTATAGTATATGGGTATAGGGCCCTATACTTTTAAGGGTCATTTGGTCCTTCAGGCAAGGTAATGCAGGATTTCTATACGAGAGCCTGCATGCGGCATAGACTCTCAGCAGCAACCCAAGACTAATTGCTTGTCGTTCTGAAAGGACCGGACCTTCCTGAGCGCCAGTGGGAAGCACTTCGGCCAACGGCCTTCAAGGGGAAAGTTTCGGGGTGTTAGGCTTCAGGTCTTTGGGATTCAAGATACCTAGACACCCAAAAGTAGGTAAAATCATAGCCCAAAACCTATAAAAGGCTATTATTCTACATACTTTTGGGGTCCAGGTATAGCGGGACGGAGTATTCTGGCCCAGGATTTGGCAGATTTGTAGCTTGCACTTGAACTTTAACCTCCTCCCGGAGCCCCGAACACCGGACATCCTCAACCCTACATTGGGGGTGTTGGGCCGGCAAGATGGGCCTGAATTTCGAGGCTTTGGTAGGGAGGTCAAGGCAAGAATCTTGACGCAGAAGCCTAAAGCTTCACAGCAGAAGGCCGATCCAAGTTTCATCCTTATAGCCACGAACCAATCTAAAAAACAAGTTTAACATCCGAAATCCGAAACTTACACGCCCTTTTCCTGCTTGTTGAGACCTGAAGAAAGCCTTGCCCCAAACCACCACGCCCGGAAAGCTCCCGTACATGGATCCCTGTCGACTCATGGTTTCGGCTTGCAGGCTGTAGCCCCGAAACCAGGGAACCCTTCGCTCGCCCTATTTCCTAAACCTTACGGACGAAATGAACCCGAAAAGGGTTTAAGGTTCATATATACCATGTAGGGATTCATAGTATATGGGAAAAAGGGCCCCTACTTTTAAGGGCCATTTGGTCCTTCAGGAAGGTGAAGCAATCCGAACCGCTTAAGTTTCAAGACTTCAGGTTCCCCCAAAAACCGACAGACACCCGAGATGCAAACGGACCCTCTTGCCACCAACCTCCCATACAAGCTTGAGTTAAAAGGACCCTCCTCGGACAGTATAGAAACAGTTTGAAATCCAAAGAAACTCCAACTTGTTTGAGTTTTCGAAAGCACTTAAGCCTCATAGTTCCTGAAACTCCGGAACAAAGCCTCAAGCAGAATTCGATACACCTCTTTGAAAGGCTCATAATGTATACAACCCCATGAAGCCTTGCAGAACCATATAATCAGTGAGTGGAATCGGAACCTACCTGACGGCAGCTGTTAGATGACAGCCGTTTACATCCTGAAGGACCAAATGACCCTTAAAAGTATAGGGCCCGATACCCATATACTATGAATCCCTATATGGTATATGATCCTTAAACCCTTTTGGGGTTCATTTCGTCCTTAAGGATGGGCCACTGCGCCGGCTAGGGTACCAGAGTCCTCGTCATCTCGGCATTTGTAGACTGACCGAACCCAAAGGCTCCTTTCAGGCCTAAGTACCTTCTATATAGGCACATGGAGTCTTAGGGAAAGAAGGGGGGCCCATTGTGCACTATGTTGCGTGTCTTGATGGGGTCAGGTGCCAGCATGTGTGAGTTGGAAACCTTGTTCGTGTTGAATTGCAAGCCCTAAACAAGGGACTACTACAACAGCACCGTATGAAGCCCTTTATAAAAGACCCATAGAGACCCTAAGCCTGAAATCCTATACCCAAAGGGTCCAAGTATCATTAGGGTATACACTTATAGGTTCTTTGTGTGTCTAAGTATATACCATAATGATACTTGGACCCTTTGGGATAGCAGCTCGAGGTCCAACGGCAGCTTTTCGCAGCGCTTTTTCGGGATCCGCTCCTGCGTTTCGCTCCACTGCCCAAGGCAATCCTGGCCTTTCGGGTTAAGTGCTTGGGGCTTGGGGATTTTTAGGGTGTAGGGTGTAAGTATATATATATATATACAAATAAAAAGTATGAACATAAATATATATATATATAGATAGATATAGATATAGATATAGATATAGATATATAGATATATGTTTAGGGATTTAGAGTCTTAGGGTGTTCAGGGCTTTGAAAGCTCAGGGCCAACTTTCGGTTTTCATGGTTAGGGCTCGGGGGGTTTTAGCTATTTAAAGGGGGCTGTGGGAATTTGCCCGAAGGGTCTGCAGTTCCTAAATCAAGGCACTTGGGTGTCGGACAGTTTATTCAGAAGCGGCGGTGTTTCATGGGAGTTCTAGGTTCTACCTTAAGGACGAAATGAACCCCAAAATGGTTTAAGGTTCATATACCATATAGGGATTCACAGTATATGGGTATAGGGCCCTATACTTTTAAGGGTCATTTGGTCCTTCAGGTAGGGGATCGGTCGGCTTAGTAGAAGAATCGAAGTTCAGGACCTTCAAAACTTCAGGAATTCGTTCCGAGACTCGCATCCTCTAGTTGGAAACATATTTACGAATACTATGCCTTGGCTGGGGTTCCTTATAATGCATATAGTAACTGTACTCTACCCCAACACCCTAGTCACGTTTGTTGGGGGCTGCTGGCACCTCCGGGGTGCTGACCCATCCTACACGCAATCCTGGTTCCTAAACCCAGACCCGAAAACCCTAGACCCAAATGCTGACGTCTTAACCGTAAATCCTGAACCCTGAACCTTTAACCCCGAAACCCTAAACCCGAAGCCCCTGAACCCTAAGCCCGTCATCCTCTAGACCCCCAACCCCTGAAATGTAAACCTATATGCTGCATGCATGCTCAGGTCCGGAAGTGCGTGTCGCGAGCGATTCTCGAGGCCCTGGAAGCAGGTCCTGTGGAAGAGGCATGGAGGGACAATGCAACAAAGTCATCCCGAGTTAGCTACGGCGCAGTGTAAGTGATTTGGCTCATGCAGAAACCGATTGTGTGGGTAGTCGTACCGAAATTTCTGTGAGCCCCTGTCTGTCATCATCGTTGTTGATGCTGTGACGACTTTTGCTGCAAGCGGAGCGATAACGAGTAAGTAGCTTCACCATGCACCACGACCATGACGACGATGACGACCGCGACGATTGCTGCTGCCACGGCTTCTGCTGCTGCTACTGCTACTGCTCCAGCTTCTGCTCCTTCTCCTGCTTTTGCTCCTGCTGCTGCTACTTCTACTGCTACTGCGACTACGCCTACTGCCACGATTACGACGACTAACCACATCTGCTGCGATTACTGTGACTGCTGCGACTACCCCGACTACGACCACCACCGCGAGCACGACCACCACAGCGACTGCGACGACGACGACCAACGACCATCACTAGCACCACCATGAACAAGACCCCTTCTCTTCCTCCTCCTCTTCCTCCTCCTCTGGCTGCCGCCCGATTACAAACGAAAAGTTGATAGTTAAAGCTCGTGGATCATGACCCCAATGCCAGATCTACATCCAAGTCTCTGGCCTGTCCCAAGCCCCAAACCACAAACACTCTGAAACGGCAACAGGAATTGGGTGGGGAGCCGTAGCGAGTGTTGGGGAACAGGAGGGTCAGGAGTAGAGGATAGCAGAAAAGCAGCGTTGGTGCAGCAAAGTGCGCAGCAGCAGCCACGCCCAAAGCAGAAACAAACAACGACAGCAGCACGACAAATGGAGGCGTGGCCGACGATGTCCGTGCTATTGCATCACTACCGCCATCAGCACCCTGAACCGACCATCGCTAGTAGCAACACCGAGGCCACAACCATTGCGACAAGCATGCGCGTTTAAAGCCACGATCTTGATCACGACCACCACCCATGCAACGCAACGCGCGGACAGTATATTATGTTGTGCGCTTTTATGTGATGTAAATCCCCTGCTCCATAGTCCTGGGCGTAACCCGGAGAATTGTCAGGTCGCACTGCCTGTGTACTATCAAATTGATGATTGGTCGTATGTTTCCTCATTGCCCCCTGTTTTAGTCATGCATCATCTTTAGTTCATCCGCGGGCTTTGACCCCGATGCCTTCTGAACTCTGAACCCTAAGCCAGAAGCCGCAAGCTCCAGACCCTAGACCCCGAATCACACACCCCAAGGACACCACAATCCTGATAGTGCACCAAGTTCTGCTACATCTACTCTGAAATGACTTCGGAGAGGTGGATGACGAGCTGTACGAGGCTTGTGCGGCCCAGGTGGCACAAGTTCGCGGCTAGGGTCCCATGTTTGGGGTTGAGTGCTCAGAGGTTCATGGTTTAGGGATTAAGGGAGAGCATCGGGTTGTTGTCTTGTCGGGACAAGACCAGAATCCTGAAGCCGGCTTGAGATCATCTGCTGGGCGTGGCTTTTCCGGCCCTTGGCCTGCCACATCACCATTCCAGAAATGTTGCTTCGGTGTTTTTTTTTCCTGTTTCAGTCTTGTGTCCAGATATATGCACACACATACATGTGTGTATATATATACATATATATATATGTATACATATATACATAGGTATATCGTCATACAGAGTTGCACCTAAACTATATAAAAGGCCGTATAAAGAAAGGGTACTTTTTTGTATATGTATGTATGTTATAAGCACGACATCGTCATGAATTTCCATTCGTGGATAGAAGGACACGCACACATACACGGGCATTCGTGTAGAGCCAAGCCACACTAGCCTCCAACCCTTCGCCTGAAGCTTCACGTAACATGGCGGTCGGAACACATTAACATACTCATCTTTTCTGTCCCGTCCAAATATATTGTTGCTACGGTAAAAGCCCCCCACCCGAACCCGACTCTAACTCTTATGGCTTTTATCTTAAGGCCGGATTCCTTGGCTACTGCCCGCACCCTGTAACAGTTGAATAGTATGAATACTTCGCTTGTATATGGCCATTAGTTTAGACTGTTACAGGGTGAGAGCCGTACTCAACGGATACCGGTCAGGTGGCCCAAGAAGATGCGCCGAGCTCTTGGGGCTACAAGCTAATCGACGTCCTCGGACAGGCGCAGGTTTTCTGTATCCCAAAGCCACGAACCCTGTTTTGGAGGAATTTGGGTCTTGGGGTTTCTCTGCGGTTTGCGTGGGAAGGCCTTTCAGTATGAGGTTGTCCCAGCGACGCGGCTCCAGGAGCGTACTGGCGTACTGTAGGGGAAATGCGTTGGCGTCTCCATGTGTTGTAGTGGGTAGCGGTCCGCCAGTTGGAGCAGAATGGAGGCGACTGTGCCTTCTGCTACTTGGGTCAGAGGATTTCTTTCTAGGATGGGAAGGATCGCATATCCCCGCCGAAGGCCAGGTACAAACCCGTCGGTGGTGTCGATTGAAGTTCGCGAATCACATCCCTCGCATTCTGTAGCGTCTCATCCTCATCCCGAGCCTGATTGGTCGGGGTCCCAACCGCCAATTATCAGAGCTCCCCTGCGGTTTCTGCTGTCGGACTCCGTCAATGCCCCAGCCGCCCTTCTTGGTTTTGCCGGACTCCAATTGCAGAGGGACTCGAGGTCGATAATGCCGGTAGCCAGGGCTTGCGCTCCGCCGTCACCACCCCCAATATATGTCTCCGTGCTGTTTGAACTCCTGCAACATGTCCACATGTCCACTGCTCCCCAAACTTTTGCCAAGCGCTGCTTCGACGTCGTCAACTCTGATGTTCACCTTCTGCAGGGCCTGTTTGATCTCTCCGTTCAGCACAATCCGGGTTCGCTTCCTGCAATCGCCTCTGGAGCGTTTTCGCGATGGCTTCCATGGTCATAAACCCTAAACCCTAAACCCTTAACCGTGGCTCCCCCTCCGTGCCGTGCGTAGGTCAAAGACCGAAAACGAACACTAAACCCCAAGCTCCTCAAGCCCTACCTCGACCCCTGGACCCTAAGGAACCTACCGTTTTCGGGCCTACTAATATGATTTCTTTATATAAGTCCCGAAAAAGGTAGGTTATTTGGGGTTAAGGTACACCCCTATGGAGCATTCCAGCCTACAACCCCCAAAATACGGGATTTTCGATCCCTGGCGCGCAGATCTGAGGTCTTCGATTGAAGCCTTACACCCTAAACCCAAAACCTTACGGTTGATGATATAAATCCTGCATTACGCATAATAAGGAATGTGCCATTGTTCCCGTAGTTAAGGGTCCTTAAGGTAATGCAGGATTTATATCATCAACCGTAGTTCTTTACCCAAGACCGAAGCTTGAAGCCGCCCGAAGGGTAGGACAGGATTCAGGATTTCGAGATGAGAGTTTATCCATAGGCTCCATAGTAGTTCCTTTTTAGGATAGTAGTTATGTAGGCTACTATTCAGGAGAGTATATGATAGTTCGGGTACTTGGACCCTTAGAGTAAACCTTTAAGCCCGAAACCTGTAGACCCTACACAACGATCCCTGAATCAGGGTCACCTCGCTCTCCGCGTTGCTACGCAGATCGGTGGAGGTCTGGAAACGGGTTGCGTTCCCTGGACAGGCCAGCTCGGGGTTGAGGGTCTAAGTGCTCACGGTTTAGGGTTCAGTGTTTAGAGGTTCAGGGGTTTAGGGTTTAATTAGGGTTTATAGGATTTATAGGGTTTAGAGGTTTAGGGGTTTAGGGCTTAATTAGGGTTTATAGGATTTATAGGGTTTAGGGGTTTAGGGTTTAGGGTTTAGGAGGTTGCATGTAGAAAGCTGGTTCGATCCTTCAAGCATAAATTAGTTGTGTCCTTTGTTAATGTTTTGGGTTTTCGTCGCTAGAACTGTGCAAGAACAAAGAGATACTTACTTGTGAACGTAGCTCAATAAACATGAAGTCACTTGTGTGCTTGTGTACTGTGTCTAGATCCAAAAGGTGAGAATGCAAGTGCGGAGTGTTGTGTTTGATTTACTTACCATGTCATGACAACTGGATGACATCATGGTGCTACTCATAGGCTCCATAGTATATAGTTTTTTGGGGGTTACCTTATAGGATCCTATAAACGAACCCCAAAAAGGCATTACTTTGGAGCCTCTAGGTAGTCCAAAGAGGTCTCAAAATAGGGGGCCGCAGCTCATTGCGGGTGATTCTGTTGGTCGAAGACGTTAAGGTCTCCGGAGGCGGCCATGCCCAACATAAACCCTGCTGTTGAAGGACCAAATGACCCTTAAAAGTATAGGGCCCTCTACCCATAGACTATGAATCCCTATATGGTATATGAACCTTAAACCCTTTTAGGGTTCATTTCGTCCTGAAGGTAAACCCGTAAACCCTAGAATCCTTACATCCGCAGCTCCACGCCCTTGGATGCTCTGTTCGTGTTTCGCAGGCACGAGTGCGACCCTGAAGTTCTGAAGACCGAACTCCCAACTCGTTATCCCCAAAGCTGTGAAACTTGAACCGACCCCCTAAGCCGTAATCAATTCCGGAAAGAACTTCATTACATGCTTCGAAGGAGATCACCCGAAACACTGAATGTCAAACTCTAAGGCCCGGAGACCTAACAGCCCTAAAGTTTTGAACTTCAATTTCCCGAAAATCCTAAAGCCTAAGCTTGACACCCTAAACCATGTACACCTAAAGCCATGAACCTTAAACCCTGAACCTTGAACCTTGGCAGTTGAAGGTGGCTGCGTGTTCCTGGGTCTTGCGCTGACCGGCTGCCTCTCCGCCGACCTGAATGGTCCGCTTCTTGAGCTAGGCTTGGGGTTAAAGTGCTGTTGCTACAATCGGTATGTGTGCAACTATGTACCATATGTATATATATTATATCTATACACATATGTACCTGTTTATGCACGGTATGATTATATATATATATATATATATATATATTTGTAGGTGTGTGTGTATGTATGTATATATATATATATATATATATATATATTGTATGTGTATATTTATACATGACGTGTATATGTGCATACATGTGTGTGCATATATATATATATATATTTATGTATGTATCTAGGTATGTACTCAAACGCATTGTTTCCATACTTGTTCTTCAATGTTTTTGGCGTAGTCATTGCCTGGTTTGTTCTGCCCAGACCTACGTACTCATACCACATGTGTAGTGGTTTTCATTTTTCAAATATTGGCTTTCGTTGCTGTTCACTTGACGTTTCTGCGGACCCAAAATTCTGAACCTCAAGTCCCCTAATCGGGGTTATAAGTAATAATAAGTATAGTTACATTATTTATAACCCTAGTTACTAAGTCCCATGATCCTTTAAGCAGGCAAATCCTGAACCATTGTCGTCTGATTCGGAACCTCAGAAGCCGGCCTCCCAGCTTGCTGATGGTGCTAATGGCTAAAGGGAACTCCAGAAAGTTGGAATATGGATTAATGGTAGGATCCCCTATAATTTACCTCAAAGGGGTTACGATAATGATATTCCAACTTTCTGGCTTCTACTGTAAGGTATGGGTCTAGTAATTCCACGTACTACTTTGCATCCACTACATAACTATACTGTATGTTTCATCTCCTTCAACATCCTTCTACTAGACCCTTGCAATCCTTCCAAGTTACTAGCCTTGCCCTAAGTCCTAAGGGTTGCAAGTCTTGTGACTACTGTTACCTGCGTTCCTCTTAGTACGTCGGATGGCAAACGATTCATACGTTGTATGCCTTGGTGTTTGTTATGGAAGCTTCCAAGAGCATCGAGAGCCTATTGTTCCTGTACTCTAGAAGCCTAAATAATTAACAATATTATTCCTCGGGTTCCGTATTGGAGTTATACTGAAATCTGCAATGGTCCCCAAAACCTTATTCTGATTCTAATTATTAAGGCCCCTACATTAATTCCATTTTGGGGACAGGGTGAGGCGGTTTCTTTATGTCAGAGGTTTGCGCAGGTTCGTTTCGGCTGGCTAAGCGTCATGGAAAGAGACTCGAGTGCAAACAGCTGTGGGATGAGGTTTTTGGATTTGGGGGGTTTAATTAGGAGTTCGGGCTTTGGATTGTAACCTTAAGGACGAAATGAACCCTGAAAGGGTTTGAAGGTTCATATACCATATAGGGATTCATAGTATATGGGTATAGGGCCCTATACTTTTAAGGGTCATTTGGTCCTTCAGGAAGGAGGCTTCGGTTTTGTTGGGTTTCAGGGTGCACGGAGTGTGGGGCACTTAGAGCGCAAACGCCTTTCCGTTCCAGCTGTACAAGGCGATTCCCAGACTCCCAAACCCTAAGCCCTCAACCCCACACGCGAGACTCCAAAGCCCCCACCAAAGCCCCCAAGGCCATCAGAAACCGAAACCCTGCAACCTGGGTTCTAACCCTTATATGCTCTAAGACATGAGCCCTCAACCCTTTGAGCCCCGAACCCCTAAACCCTAAACACCCTTAAACCTGAACCCCAACTCCACGACCTTCGAGCGTAAGCTCCAGCAATGCAGGTGCTGGCACTGGCATCTTGGGTTTGGGCTTGGCCCTCACAGGCCCCTAGGAGGGATCCGGATAGGTTACCAGAGGCTGAAGATTTTGCTGTGGGGGTTTAGGGGTTCAGGGTCGTAGCATATTATGGAATACTCCTCCATGTCGGCTTCCGCCGATGTTATTTTGTGATCAAGAGCAGCTGGATTCCTAAATCCTTCGTCCACGAAGCCTCAAGTACCAGCCCTCGAATCACAGGGTTGACAGGAGGCCCCTGTGGAAGGCACCCCTGTCGGTTGCACTTTGCCGAATGCGCGTGTTGCTGCACAGTGGGGGGCCCAATAGGTCCCAACTCCATTAGTCCCCATTGCCCAGAGACTCCAATATGCCTTAATTAAGGAATATACCTTAAACCATATAAGGGATCCTACCATCATTTAAGGAATATTCCTTAATTAAGGGATATTGGAGTCTCTGGGTGGGCCGCAACCAAAGTGCAGCCCACAGAGGTCCTCAGAGGGGCCCTCATCAACCCTGTGACGGAACGCACGCCTATCGAACACATCGCGGTTTGTTTATGCAAGGGCACAGGGGCGACGAGTAGTCAGAAGCGGGGGTTCGAGAGACTTTTGTTGCCAGCTTCGGGATTGTACACCTTATGCCTTTGTAGCTGAGTGGATACACTTTACATTTGTTGGGATCATATCACCCCCATAAAACTAAAAGTGCACACTTTTAATTATGGGGCTTATGAACTCAGCAGCTAAGATGCTGTAGTCTCGAAATAAACCCTAAACTCAGCCTTAAACTTTCAAGCCCTAGCCCCTGAACATAGTTGCAGGGAGCCTTCTAAGCTCCTCACGGCCTCAGTGGCCGCTCTTAACTCGACGTTTCGGGTGCTTGAAATCTGATTGTTTTTAGGGTCTTCGGTGTTTCAGGGCTTAGATTTTGATAGGGTGTAGGGGTTTGGGGTTTTGCGCCTCGTCGAATTTTGCACCCTAAACCTTAAACTCTTAAGCCATGAAGCAAGGCACAATCAAATCGTCTTCAACCCTCGATGAGTTACTGCCAACATCCCAGGCTTTGTGACCCACACATGTGTGTGTAAACAGCGATGGAGAATGGCTAGTTCTCCAAATTAGGGTCCCGTGTAGGGTCCCCAAAGTAGAACGGCACTCTTATAAAACATACCCTCCAAAAGACTCGAACAGGCAATTTAGAGAAGTACCCAAATCACGATTCTAATTACCAACTTATGTCAGGCAGCATGGTCACCCTGACGGACGCTCAGCCCGCAGTGCCTCTGCGCAAAAGCGGCCGTTTTGGGGTGGCGTGCTTGGGTTATTATAGAGAGGCTTCAATAGGGTTTGGGAGACCCTAAACCCTAAGTAGTCCTATGGCATGTCGTTGTCAGTCATCATCTTATCAGCGGGGGCGTCGTGCGGAGCATGTGAAGCCTTTTGTGACGTTTTGAGATGTTTCGTAACTTGGAGGTCGAAAAATATTGAAAGCTGTGCCCCAAAGGTATGTAGAACAATAGAGTTTACAGTTTTTATGGGTATTGGGCCATTATTTTACCTACTTTGGGGGGTTTAGAAAGCTGTGCCTATGACGTGGGGGCAGCTGCCGAGCCGACGTTTGCCCTATGGTGTTGGGTAAAGACTGCGTGACGGCGGCACCGCCTCGAGCCTTCCTGCTTCTGAAGTTCGGGGGCGTGACCTGAAGGACCAAATGACCCTTAAAAGTGTAGGGCCCTATTCCCATATACTATGAATCCCTATATGGTAAATGAACCTTAAACCCTTTTAGGGTTCATTTTGTCCTTAAGGAAGACTGCGTGACGGGCGGCACCGCCTCGAGCCTTCGTGCTTTTGAAGTTCGGGGGCGTGAGTCCAGTGCCCGAGGAGGATAGCGGATAGCACTGGCCGCTCAAGATCTTTGGCAGCACTGTCTGGCTTGCTTAACCCTAAATAACCCTAAACCCATGCTTAGATCTAAACAGTAAGCCGCTTAAAGAACCAAACTCCCAAACCATAGATGCTGAACCCTAAACCTGAAACTTAAGCCATAAGCTTAACCCCTTAACCCCTAAACCCGAAACACCCTGAACCCTGAACCCTTTAAGCCCTAAAGCCCGAAATCTTGAACCCTAAACCTGAACCCTTAAACGAGCGCCGCAAACCTTAATTCCTAAACCGCAACCCTTGATGTTTGGGCAGACCTAAAATGGAGCAAATTTCAGGAAACCTCAACCCTTCAACGAGCGCCTCTGAGCATTTGCATGGGCTCGCAAAGTAGGATCCCTAATATGATTTAAGGTATATTCCTCAATAGCGGGGTCTTGGAGTCTCTGGGTTCGTGTCCTCCCGCCCTGTTGGGGGGTTGTGGGTGCACCCCTGATTGCAGGGATCCGGGTCTTAGGCTTTAGGGCTTGGGGTGCAGGGTTCACGGCTCGGATGTACGGTTTATAGTAGAAGTAGAAGCCAGAAAGTTGGAATATCATTATCGTAACCCCTTTAAGGTAAATTATAGGGGATCCTACCATTAATCCATATTCCAACTTTCTGGAGTTCCCTTTAGGACTGTGGTGGCTCAAACATGTCGGTTCGCGAGCGATAAGTTCGATGGTCTCGCAGGACACTCAAGGATATACGACCTACCCTAAACCCTAAGCCGTGGTGTCCCTTGGGGCGCCTTCCTTGCCCAGAGTCTTGTAGTCACTTCTTGCGCAGATATTCATGGCCGGGTACGGAACACTTAAAATAAAGTCCTCGGGGTTGGGGGGGGTGCAATTTCCGCGGAGCATCCGAACCCTGAAACCTACACCCGAATCTCTACTAAACCCCAAGCTCAAACCCTAAAGCCTCGTCTTCAGACTGCGAGGTGCTGGAGAACCTCAGGCACAATCTGGAAGCAACCAGGGCATGCGCGGCAAAGGCCTGAAACTCAGTTGGCGCAAGTGCTCATTTGAAGGTATATCATGTCGATTTCGGTGCACAACCATAGTCTTTGTACTATATTTGCATACATACATACACACACACACCTTGTACTATACATATACACACATGCATACATAAACGTACGTACATACATACACATACCTACATACACAAACACATATATATATATACATGTGTATATATATATATACAGTATACATACATACGTACATACATATATACATTCGTGTTTGTGTGCATGTTTGTCTCTGCACCGCCCGTTCCTTCTTTGGCCCTTGTAGGATTGCCTCTTCCGGTTAGGATTCCGTGGTTGAATCTCATGGTTTAGGACATAGGAGTTGAAACAGAGGGCTTAGGGAGCAAACCTCAGGCAAGACGAACCACCTAAACCGCCATGACTGACGCCAAGTGGCCCAGGCCTCGCTAGGTTAAATCCCGAAGCACCCTTCCACCCTGCCGTACACACCCGACACTCCAGACCCCTAAAGCCCTGGGAACCTTGAGAGCCCCAAGCACGGTCCGCCCCCCGAAACATTAAACTTACGCCCTCTAAAACCTAATCCCTGAACAATTTGAAGCCCTAAGCTTCGAACAGAAAAGAGAGACCTAAACCACTAAGCCCATACTCATACCCACATCGACACCCAACGCCTAAAACCCTAAACCCTAAAAAACATTAAACCTTCCTAAAACTAAACCCGAGGCTTCTGGAGACTTCCGCGCAGATGTGCCTTGGGAGCTCAAAGGTTTCCAGGGCTCGTGCATAGGTTTGGGGGTTTGAGGTTTTAGACGGTGTAGAGTTCAGGGCTTGGGATTGGGAGTTTAGGGTCTTTGGTTGAGAGTTTACGGCTTCGGGTCTACGGTTGAGGTTTTTTAGGGTTTGTTGGTTTGAATACTAATGCAAAGTACATATCCCCTTGTAGTAGTCCCTTTAGGAATAGACCACAAGAGACCCCACACCCGATTCGATTATCTATTGGGTAATCAAGTCAAGGCTTCGCATGGCTCTAAGCTTTAGCAGGCGAATTGTGTTTAATTGTTGTTGTTTGTGTTACGTCCTTTACTTCGGTAACTCTGGCTACCTTTGGAGGGACTTCGACAACATCTGATACTTGTCATTGTGGTTCTTGTGTCGGCTGTAGGCTGCAGGTCCTGTCCTCGGCTCAGTCCACCATCATAGACGCACAGCCCAAACCATCTCCGAATCCGAACGTGGTTTCAGGATTATAGCTTTCAGGTTTGCCAGCCATGCTTCGCCTGAGCCCACCCCCTGTCGGTACCTTGATCCCCCGGGCTAGTATGGCGACCCTCAAAGATAAACCCTCAATCTCACAGGCCTGGTAGAGCCCTGGCAGAGCCCTAAACCTTCACATAAACAACATCGAGAAGTTTCAGCACTTCAGCAACAAGGTGCAGATGCTGGATTGGTCAAGACCTGACCTATCAGCTCTGGGCGCGGCCAAGGCAGGTTGGGGTTTCGGGTTGCACCGGGACAGGGTCCATCTAAGCGTTTAGTTCAGTCTCGGGGCTTTTGTAGTTCTTTTTCCTTAAGGACGAAATGAGCCCTAAAAGGGTTTAAGGTTCATATACCATATAGGGATTCATAGTATATGGGTATAGGGCCCCTACTTTTAAGGGGCTTTTGTAGTTCTGTTTTTGGTTAAGAGTTTCACGGGCATTAGAATCGGGATCCTGTGAGGTAACCACCCAAAAAACTTGCAATGAAGATTGTACGTAGTGCTTGTGGGTGCAGTCGTTGAGGTTTAGGCTATCGTTCTTTGGATCCATAGCCCTAGAAGCTAAACCCCAAACCCTAAACCCTCAGAGAACGAGCCAGGTTGTAATCGGCAGCGACTTGGCCTACGACGAGGCCGATGTTTAAGTTGCGATTCCATCAGGTTTCGACAGCGTAATTCTAGGGTCCTACGAGGGTTGTTTAGGCATAGGGTTTGGTAGCCTAAACCCCCCCAAACCCTGAACCCGGCAACCCGCAGACCCTAAGTCAAGCCCTACAACCTCAGCGCTTGCTTAATTAGATTCCTTGCCAAGGCTTATAGTGGCCATTACCCATAGGCTCCATTGTAGTCCCTTTATGTGGTTTGTATTTAGAATCCTGTAAGGGTTTAAGTTTTTAGGCCCAATGGCACTTATTCGTCTTACCAGATCTTGAGAAGCACCTGCCTGCTAGCCCGAGCCCCTAAAACCCCTAACTTGCAGATGGCAACGCCGTAGCGCGCTAAAGGGCATGGAAGCCTTAATTATTAATTACACTCCCCGCTTTGCAGATCGTCAAAAGTCTCCACTGACAAGGGAGACTCTAGGCGAACTTCGAGCCCGCGCTTGTGGACAAAGAGCTGGGGTGCCGAATAACCAAAAGTAAGAGGTCGGAACATTTTGTCAGATCATGCCCTTATAGATCCTATACGGTTATAGGGTCAATATACCCACCGAAGCCCCAGTCGAGTACACTGCCCAACAACACCCTGTTCTAACTGTTTGGGAGTTTCCGAAAATAGGGGACCCTAACATAGTACCCTAAATATAGAGTGATCCGTATTGTAAGGACCCCAAAATAAGGAACCCCGCTTTTTCGGAAACTCCCGTTTAGCCCCCTGTAATTAACGAGAGCTTCAGGTTTCTCGGCGTTTAGGGGTTAGGGTTTCTTATGTACAGCAAGTGTCAGGTTCTGTACTTCACAATTGGTTTTGATGGGATCATCTTTGAAGGTTTAGGGTACCAGAGTCGGGATTCAGTTCCTTCGTTCGAAATTCGAAGGTCTTTAGGGTTTAGGGGGTTTAGGGTTGGGGCATGTAGGCTTCAGTATTTCAAACGGGAAGTTTCGGGTGTTTTGGGGCGGGGCACGTAAAGGCTTCAAGGTGGGTTTAGGAAGACTTTGGGTGTATTTGATTAAGCTAATCCCCCGAAGCTGACTTTCATGCGCAGTCATAAATGAAAAAAAGATGGTGCATCGGAGAATCATGCCACGAAGGCATGAAGGTCGGTGCGCCATACTGAAAGCATCGTCGAACGCTTGCGAGGTGCACAGCTTCATTGCTGACTTTCTTTCCTTCCGGTTGGGCCGTGACTCAGGTGGCTGGATCTCGCACAGATCGAAGTTAGCCTGCAGCACTCTACGGGTGGCAATGTCCTGGCTGGCTGGATTGGTTCCACCAGCCGAAAAGCTGGGCATTCACCGGCCGCTTTACAGAATCCTAATACTCGACACTACTTGCCTTTGGTTAGCAGGGAATGGAGGAATGGGGTACAATTATGACTACTATTACTACCATTCTTCCGTTCCCTACTAGCCAAAGGTAAGACTAGACGTCCTTGAGAAGAGATCCAGCTGTGGGCCGCCATACTACCTGCATGTCAGTGCTTCTTTTCTCCGAGTGCGTTGCCGGCCCATTCCTTCAACTGGGAACCATAGAACCCTACTATATCCCTTGTAGACCCCTTAAAGGAACCTCTTAATTAAAGGAACCCCATATTACATCCCTATAATTAATAGCCCTTATATTGGTCCTTATAGATTTGAAGTCCTCTGGATTTACGATGTTAGGATTTACAGGCTTTTGAGGGTTCAGGGTACGTAGATCGTTTCTCGAACATGCCACGCCCTAGAGAAACTAAAGGTTTCAGCCTTGCCGTGGTGCCGTGGTGTTCTGCATGAGCCAATCCTGAAGGACCAAATGACACTTAAAAGTATAGGGCCCTATACCCTATGAATCCCTATATGGTATATGAATCGGGTTTTAACATCATCCCAATGAGCCCGACAGTCCCCCAAACCCCGGAATCCCACGCCCGGGACCCTAATCCGAAAGACTCGATGCTAAACTAGGACTGTAAATCCTAAACCCAAATCCCTATTCAAAAGCCTAGGCCGTGAGCAAATGTAAGGTCGGAATGCTTAGTTGCTCACAATGCCCGCTTGTATATGGTACCATATGAAAAGCCGCTGAAGTAACTGAGGCCCTTAACTTATCAGCAATAGAAAGCGTGGTTTAAATTCTAGCAGAACCTCATGAATAGAAGCCTATCAGAACAAGCCGCAAACAAAGCCCTGTTATAGCAGCTTTAATGAATACCTATACTGTTTTGGGGCGTTCCTTATCGTAGTTATGGTATATTGGGCTTCTAGTTATTAAGGCCCCTCTACTAAACCCCTACAGCCTCCTTATAGGTCCCTCTGAAGGAACCCTTTGAAGGGAACCCTATTCTAACTATTAAGGCCCCTAAAGTAGCTCTGGAAGGATGCTTTACCGGCCCTGGCTGCGTTGCTGAAGGCTCTGCTGGAGCCGCAAGGCCAACCATGGAACCCAGTAGCCCTGTATTTGTTCAACCCTACCCCCTAAACTTTAGGGTCTTTATGAGGCGGTATGGGTCCTTTTAAAGGGGTCCACCAGGCCAAATCTTGATACCTTTATAGGACCCGTCCGTAATGTAGTAAGTACCCTTGCGCTGTAGTAGCCCTGCGGCGAAGCTTCTACAGGATCGGCGACGCATGCCTTGCTGGCGTGTATGCAGCGCAAGGAGACAACCATCGCAGCTCGGCAGACTGGGGAGGTTCGGTTTGTTCCCTGTTGTTGCCTACAGTCTCCATTGTAGTTCCTTTTTTTGGTTTAACCAATCATATATTAGGGATTCTATAAAGTAACCCCAAAAAAGGAACTACAATGGAGACTATAGGTAAGGGTTGCTATACGATGCAAGTTCCTTTAGGGAGTCCTTCAAGTGTTGAGCATCAGGTGAGGGGCCCAAAAGGTGTCTGACTTCGGAGGTCAGGCCTGCGTTTCTGACAGGCTGTGCGATTTCTAACGAGAGGTGCTGAATAGACCTTATCTGTTCGGTTTGGATACAGCTGCAGGAGCCCCAAACCCTAAGCCCTAAAACAGCCCTAAACCCTGAACGAACGAATGCATGTATCGTGGGTTTTGTTGTTCGGTACATATAGCACGAAGGGAGCTCCAACACCACCTTCCGAACATGATGTCTCACCTGATGAGTACCTTCTTCCACAAAGGGTCATAAAACTTGTTATCTGAGCCATAGGTGCACAATTTACCTACTCATCACCATCCATGAGCAGAAAAGCAAAGTATAAAGCCTTTGCCGTCGCTATAAACAAGACCTCGAAGTGTGACCGATACAGTTACATGTTTTGTTTCTGTCGCTGCGGCACTTCCTGGTTTTAGTGTTGCGGAGGTAGGAGAGAAGGTCGCTTATGTGTTTAAGCAGAACTAAGGATTTGTGATATTTTCTGCAGCCAAGTGAGTGCCTCTACTTCTCGGCGTCGCCGCCAGGAAAGTGTTGTGAACACTAACGTGATGCTAAGCCCTCGGACGCCACAGACTCTAGCAGCATCAGGACCCTCAGTAGAAATCGTTGCTTGACCGTAGTTACATGCTGAAAGCCGTAGACATTAACTTTTATAGCACATGCCATAACCTCCATCCTAAACCATTGACTGACTCTGAACTCTAATACCCTTGTAGACCCTAAACGCTGTCTCCGCCCATCCTTTTTCCAGGCAGCGCTGGAAGCTGCCCTGGCTTCTCACGGTCTGCCAGAGGCTTAGATAGCTTCTACCTGGCCCCTAAGGAACCTACATTTTTAGGGCCCCCTAACAATATGATTTCTTTATTTAAGTCCCTAAGGTTATTTGGGGTTAAGGTAAGGTCGTAGTTTTGAGGCGGAGAGGGTTTTGGGGTATAGAGGAAAATGTACTGTCAGTTCATCTTCTAGGTCTCCATCTATTTAATGTAGGCACTCTAGAACTGTTCACACATCTATATAGTAGAGCTTATCGGGTTTTGTTGGGTATATGCAGTATAGGATCCAGGCTCACACAAAACCTGAGGGGAGTTGTATGGAGGGTCGAGCTGGGTGTAACATGCCGACTTTAGGGCAGAATAGAGAGAGTTTGTGCTGCCCTGTGAAGTCCCGAGCCCCCAAACGTTTGCGATTACATCACCAGTTTTATTGTCCCAGCTCCAAGGATTATGATGTAGCTTGTTACTCTAGGCCAGAGATTTTGGGTGGATGTGCTGGATACCAGCTACTGTATGCGTGGCACCTGCTGGGCCCCTTCACTTTCAGACCCAGCTGCAGTGCCTGCGGGACGGTCGTGGGACCTTCGTGTCTTTTGTTGGCATGTCGTGCCCTCATGCTCATCGCCGCTGCGGCCATTTTCGAAACAAAGCAGGGTCAACTCCTTGGTTAGTGTCGGCTGCTGGCACTTCTGAATGCCGCATGCCCTCGTTTTACTTGCGACAGCCGTGCTAGTCGTTGCAGTGGCAAGCATAGATGGCGTAGACGTTGCTGTTGATCCTCTGCTGTTTGCAGATCCAACCCGCATCAACGAGCTCGGCTGGACTGATGCACATCACGTAGCCTATGGGTGGCCTATCCAAGCAGCGCATGGGAAAACTTTTTCGGTGCCTCCTGAAAGGCACCATGCGTCGTCATTCTTCAAGCAAGTCACAGATGAGTTCCTTTGTTTGCGAAATGACTTTGGGCAGACGGCGCTGCATTTAGCAGTGCGACAAGACCACGCCGAGCTTGTCTCCTTCCTTGTCTTGACGAGAAAGATACCATGCCTTGACGTGGGGAATGGAGATGGAGATACACCGTTGCATTATGCAGCCGCATGGGGACGAAGGGAGAGCGCACGTCTTTTGCTTCAAGGCGGTGCAGATCCGTCCATCTTAAACAAACAAGGCAAAACCGCCATGGATGATGCGCTTTCATTTGGAAATCCAGACATTTGGTCGATCATGTCCCAGGAAAGGATGCCTGAGGATGCAAAGACACCAGAGTTATGAAGGGCCACCGTTGGACAGAGATTAACTGAAAATCAGATCCCTGCCGGTGTACAGATGCTTTGGGATCTTAGTGCTTTGCGCGCATGCTACCTACGGTCTCCTGTGTAGTTCCTTTTGGCTAACCTCCTGTACGCATGGTTGAACCTACCTATAGTCTCCATGGTAGTTCCTTGTTCTGGTTAACCAAAATCTCTACTGGAGGGTCCTAATCATAAAACTGGTTAACCAAAAAAGAACTACAACGGAGGCTATACATCTAGTACGGGATCATAAAGACTACAACGGAGACTGCAGCTAGGTTTTTGCGGTCAAGATGCTCATGACCAGTCCAACCCTGCAACATCCAATGCTCTAGGCCCGGCAGGATATATCCCTAAAGTGCCCCAGAACTCTAAACCCCCCACCCCATAAACCCTGATCCTTGAACCCGTAAGATGGGTGTAACTTAAGGCCCTAAACCCGCGAAGCCAAGGATACCCGAAGGGTGCCCTTTACGGTTCCTTGTGCTGCCAAGTGCTGGAGGGCTTTTGAGCCGATCAAAATCAGGGCAATGCCGCCTTTTACAGGTCAGGCCTCTGGATTTCGAGGCAGGTAAGCCAGGTAAGAGAGCACCCCTCCTCCGAAACCCTAAACCTGATATTGACGACATCTTGAACCAAGCTAGAGCCTTGTAAGAGAGGTGTGCATATACTGGCTTCGTTAATGTTTTCATTGGCAAGCCGTCAGGGATGCTAGGAAAGCCACTTCTGTTACGAGCTTGCCCAACTCAAGACAATAGTGCTTCAACGCTAGAGCCTAAAGAGCCAATTTCCATGACACCTACCTTGTTTTCCCTAAGACTCCTTACAATTAGCCCAAAAGTGGGCAGTATCCATCGACTGTAGACCCAAAGTAGGTTCTGTTTGTACACTTGGAGTGCTAGGGCTTTGCTTCCAACGCCGATGTCCCTACTCACTCAACTGGGTTCTTGTTAAGGAATGTGTTTTAAAGTTATCATAGTAGAAACCTATATGTCGTAAACAATATGCTTTCTTTAGTATGGTAATTCACATTACATTCCTCAGGAAAAACCCGGTCAAAGTCGGAAGGCGCAACATGCTCAGCCCCAGGGGCCTACTTTCGTTAAGCATGTTCACACATCGCCCAAGCTTAAAAGACAATCTACGATAGTATACTAGCATAATACCAGAACAGACTATATTATACAAAAGTATGAAGTATGCTATAATGGAATAGAGTATGCTGCTTCGGCGCCGAGACGAAGTGCTGAGCCTCAACCCACGACCACGAGTGACTGCAAGTCGATGCTTGAGAGGTTTTCGTGATTCATACCCAAGGGATATACAGAGTTATACAGGAATGCAAACTTACATATGCGTTGTAACCAGTGCCAGCCAAGACCCAGCAGAGGCTAGCTTGCTGGTAGCTCTACATAAGCACCTGGGAGCCTTTATTTAAGTTCCCACTTTGGCAAACTGGAGGACCCGGTGTCCAGCAACCTTGGCCCTAAGATGTCATTGTGGGCCAGTAGGGGATACTCTACCATTATGTCATAGGGTGTATATAAGTGAGCACAAGCACAACTCGATGAACATGTCCTCCGACATGCGTACATGCAAAATACATGCACACACACACACACACACAGCTTACATGTACACCGACACATACACATGCATCTTTGTATATATACATATAGATATGTACATGCACATATCTCTTTTTCGATCAAGTATACGTACATTTAAATGTATACATGTACCTACATGTACATACACACATGCATAGGAACATATGGCTCATGACACTGATTTGTCTTCGTCGGCTTTGGTTCAGCGGTTGAGGATTCGGAGCCCTTCACGCTGATCCCGGAACCGTAGATGGACCCCGCACGATAACCCCAAACCCGAAAGCCCCAAGCCGAGCACATTCCTTAACCTGAGAGCCGCTTTGCTACACCTTGTTTGTCAGGCTCTTCCTTCCGTTCTTCCTGCTTTGTTATCAAACCCGCCATAAAATTTCCATAGAAGCATATGAAGACCCTTTGAAGACCTCGTAAGACTGTATCAGAGCCTATAAGACCTGGTCAAACCCTACAGGCCCTATAAGCTAAGCTGTAGAGCCTTATAAAGCCCAAGTCAGGTCCTGGTGTACCCCGGAGTTGCCAGAGGCTGCCTGGCTCTCTGCCAAGGCTGGTTTCTCTTGAAATATAGGGCTTAGAGCTCTGGATGTAAGGGCTTAGAATTTAGGGTTTGGGGTTTAGTTTAGGGCTAGGGTTGGGGTTTTAGGGTTTGCAGGGCTTCGGGGTCTAGGTCTTGTGCTTTGGTGCTTTAAGGCTTAGAGTCCGTAGAGTTAAAGGCGAGTAATTGGTGCTTAGGGTTCAGGGTCAGTTTGGGGTTGATGTGGTAGGTATTCTAAGCAAGGCAGGATCTAGGATCCATGTAGGTCGAAGTCATGTTTTGCTTGGGATCGCCTTGAGGTCCGAAGCCCGATACCTTAGACTTAGACCCTCTTCCCATAAGCCTGACCCTCCCCCGTACAACAACAGAAGCTAGACTAAACCCTAAGCAACAGAGGGGTTTTTCAAAACCTTATTTTCAAAAATCCTAAACCCTAAGCAAAAACGAAGCTCTACATGCTCCCGATGGAGTGACAGGACTGGGCTCGGCATGGCTGCGACGCTGCGAGCTGTGGGGCAGAGCGCGTCTGCCTCCTGAAGATCCAGGCCCAAGGGTTTAGGGTTTAGGGATTAGGGTTTAGGGGTTAGGGTTTAGGGTTTAGGGGTTAGGGGTTTAGGGATTTAGGGTTTAGGGTTTACGGGTTCAGTTTTTTAGGGGTTAGGGTTTGGGGTCAAAGGCTTAGTGTCTACCTGGGCTCTTGTTAAGGAGTTAAATTGAAGTTACCATAACAGGGATCGATAGTAACAAATATGATTTCCTTAATCGGGATCTATGGGAAATAATTACCATAGTAGGGATCTATAGTAACTAATATGATCTTCTTGCTATGGTAACTTAGATTAGATCCCTTAAGAAGAACCGTAGGAAGGCTCCGGGGGCTACGGTAATGAGTGCGTACAAACGTCCTAAGTCGTTTGTGCTCATGTGCTGTATGCACGAAATACCTGTACGCATATCTCACATATTTTACATGCGTATATACACATAAGCATACGAGCTCATGGAGAACATGCATGCGCCTGTGTTTCTGCATGCACATATACGTTATGTCTGTATGTATGTACACATGTACATATGTATATGTTTCTTGGCATCGAATCCTGAAACCTGGATGTTGTGCTTGAAAACCGAGGTTTTTCAATGCCAAACACCTGTTTGGGCCATTGGGTACTTCGATCCATATAGTCCCTTTAGGGGTTCGGGTTTAGGGGTTTAGGGTTTAGGGAGTTTAGCTACCTTGAACTGTAGTCTCCTTAGGAAATACCCACCATAACCTACTTCTTTGTAGGGTCCCTATAAATCCCATATTGTGGGTTTATGATAAGAACCTGCAAACAAGGCAGGGTTTAGTAGGTCTAGGTAGTCTCCTAAACCCTAAGCCCTAAACCGCTGAGGTATTTTTTTGAATTTTGTTCATATAAAACCCAACTTGAAATCAGCTGAGGCATAGGGGGTGCCTTAAAAAGCACTGAGGTTTGGGGGGGATACCCTAATCCACGTTGATTTCAAGTTGGTTTCCTTGTTAGCCGGGGGGGGAACCCCCCCCCAGTGGTTTTCCGATCGCTTCCCTGAGCAATGCAACCTCGGCAGCTTTTTCAGCTGGCCCCGGACATGGCGCCGAAAAAGCTTCTCTCGCCTGCGCTGATTGGGCGGTTGTCGATCGTGGACCTGCGTGCTCAGATGACGGCATGGGCATGACAGAGCTGCCGGGACTGGGAGACCATGTTGAAATCCTGGAAGCCAGAGGGCATCTGGCACGGAGGATCTCTGACAGCCAGGCTCGTCGGTGACCTGTCGCAGAGTGACAACTGCAGTCCCTTCGGTTTCAGGTCCTTAAAGCTCGGCTTCCACCACACTGGAATCAGCAGGAGGTCCGGCATTCTTCATGCAAAGTGAGTTTGGTCATGCCATTACTTTTCGACTTCGACGCTTTGCCCAGGCTGAGGGTAATTCGAACGGGGAGGCACTTGGTGTGCCTTCTTCCGTCTCGCAAAGCTTGACTGACCCCCTGTCGCCGGTGGTGCCCGTGGAAGGTGACGAAGCTGCTCCGATGGTGGCAGCAACAGCAAGTAGCAGTCAGATGCACGTGTCGAAGCAGGTTCCGTGGAGCCGTCTGCGAGCTGCCGCATGCCTGCCGACATCTTGAAGGACAGTGGCCTGGTCCAGTTCAGAGGCACGGAAGCCAAAGATAAAGGAGACGAGGCTGCTGTGAAGCGGTTCGGGAAGCTCAGTCAGGCTTGTCGCCAATTCATCGACTTCGTCCGTGTGAAGGAGGGCTTCCTTTCCAAAACGCAGGCGAGTGCAGTCCAGTGCTTCTTCATGCAAGGATTGATCAGTTCATCGGTAGTTCCAGCATGTGCTTGTCCGATTCTGCCTCCCTTGCCGTCAGGTCTTCAATGGGCACAAGGAGCTCAACCAGGCACAGTTGCTGGAGCATTGGTTGGCAGAAGCCAGTCAGATGCTGGACACCAACTCTCAGAGAAGCAGCCGATTTGCTGCTTGGGCGAGTTTCAGTCAGAAGTGCACTGAGATCGCATGCCCAAGTGCTGGGCAGGGAAGCGGCTTTGCCCCCATGACACAGTTTCGGCCACCCCACCTTCCAGATGAGTGCGGGAGCACAACCTCGCACCTCCGGTCTTGGGAGTCGTCACAGCTGTCTACCGTGGCGGCCGCAAGAAAGCAAGCGCAACGGCTGGCAGCAGCCTGTCTGCCCCGAAAAATGCATGTTGCATGTTTGCAGCCTGGGGATGCCAAAGACATTTTCTGCTGCTCGGTCGTGAGCCCCGACCTCCGACTCCATGCTGCTGCAGGTGCCACCTGCCGGGTACGTCGTCCTCGACACAGCTGCCGTGCTTTCCGTGCGCCTTTCCAAGAGAGCGCTGGATGCTTTTCTGCAGCTGCGAAAGGGCGTCGTTCCGAACTTGTTGCCCACCAAGGACGCCGAGCCATCGATCAGGCTCGTCTTCACAGCAGAAAGTTTTTCTGGACAGGCACACCACCGAAACATCGGGAAGGCCTTGCAGGTCTGGTTGCAGAGCCTTGGCAGCATCATTCGAAAATTTTTCGAAAACCTACACTATTCGCATCCGTGTTTGTGTGGCTCGGGGTATTTGGTGCTCAGACCAGGACACACGAGCACGTGTGGGGGGCGCCCCGCTTCTCGACCGTGAGGGCCGGTTGAGAATCCCAGCACGCCCAGACTGGCGGGCGTTCCTGGAAAGGGTGCCTGGCGCCCTCTTGTCTCGCTGGAGCGAACACAAGAAAAAGAGCAAGGGGGCCGGCTTCGGGCACCGGTTTTGAGAACAGCTTCGGTTTTACCTGCCCACCAAAGGTGGTGATAAATCTTAGCTTTTGAACTGGTTCAGCGGCATAGACCGCCTTGCCCCAAAGGAGCTTCCTGCGGTCGCGCCCACGTGAAAAAATCAGGCAGTCTTAGCGACGCTGTGCAGCTTGCCCCAATCCCCGTAGCTTCAAAGTCTGAGCTCCAGCCGCTAGCCCTTGCTCTGGGCCCTGAGATTTCAAAACATTCCAACGCAGAGACTCCGAAGTTCCAATCATGATTGTTTGGAGGCATGCAGGGTTGAAACATGTCGTTGTGTCCACACCCTAACTTGTCCTCGTCTTGGAGGGTCCTGCCAGTTTTGATTAAGCCAAGTCGATTTCCGGAGCGGGCCACCGTAAAAGCACTTGCGGGGGTCCCCCCCCCCCCCCCCCGCGAGGACCCCCCTATGCTGAGGCTGTTGGGATCAGTCCACAGGTCTCCCTTAAAGGGGCCCATGTACAGAGCCCGTAAAGTAGAGCCCTTACAGGGGCCCTAAGCTATTTTCTCAAACTAATAGGACAAGTTGCAACTCGATGAGTTATACGAGTGAGTTATACCATACTCCCACCACTAAGTTATTACTCGATACCAAGTATGATATTTCTCTAGAATGGAGTATAGTCCGGACCTTTAGGGCTTACTTATAGCTCGAACTGCATTTGTTGTTTAGGGTTCCTTGTTATGGTTTGCTTCCAGAGTTCCTTAAAAGACCTTTCTCATAGTTGGGCAACATTTTACATGTTTAAAACAGGAACGAAGACTTAATAGCTTAATCTGACCCCAACCATGAACCAGAAGCAAGGTGGGTTCTTGGGGGGGAGTACAAAGGCAACTCCTGATATAGAATTCACCCTCACGCAGCCCTTAAAGGGACCCTTATATAGAACTCACCCGCATAGAGCCCTTAATCAAGGGACCCTTATATAAAGTCTATACGGTAGAGCCCTTAAAGGGTCCCTTATTCACAGCCCTTGCAGGGGCCCTTATTTCGAGCCCTTAAAGGGCGGTGGGTTAAATAAACTTCGCTTCGCTGCAGGACTCGATTCGGCTGCGGGAGCCGGCTGCAAGCGATGGGGAAAAAGCAATGAGCGGCTTTGGCTTTTCCCTAAGGGTCCATGTCCCCAAATAGTATGTGTGCGTTTTTATATACATATCTCTATTATATACTATACATACGTATGTAGTTACATTATATATAATATGTATATATATATATATATATATATATATATATATATACATATATATATATATATATAACGTATTGCGGCCAAAGTATATCTAAGTACTATTTGGGGACATGAACCCTTAGGCTTTGGGCGACCAACTTAGATCTTCAAGCCTACTGTGATTGAAGGGTTAGGGTCAAGGGGGTCAGGATTTCGGGTGCAGGGTCGAAAAGGTTGGGATTTCAGGTTCGGGGCACAGGGTCTAGGGGCTGAGGGGTTCAGGGTTCAAGGCATCGGACTGTAGGGCAGGGGTTTTGGGATGGAAGGGATAGCCTCAAGGTGCCCATGTTTCCTTCTAAGATTCTATCTTCGAGAATCGACGGACATCGAGTAAGATATATCGAGTAACTGCTGAAGTGGTTTGTGACGGGATAGAGGTGGTGAGCATATCTGGATTCAGTGGTTGGCAGTTCTCCCCTGATCCGCGATACATGGCGGGGACCAGGGGAGGGAGACAAATCCCTTCACTTTGCTTAAAGCCTAAGCCTAAACCGGAGCCCCTACGTCTTACGCTTTCAGTCGTCAGGGGTGAGGAGTTTTCTGGCGACAGCAACCGCATGCGAACAACATATTCATAGAGTGTAAAAACGATACGGATACCCTGAGATCTTAAACCCCAAGCCCTAAAGCGCAGCCAGGTTGATGAGAGCAACCTGGTTCTGGATCGGGGCTTTCTATTTCGGCGCGGGATCCCGGCTAATCCTATTCTACAGTATAGTTTTTGTTTGGTCTAGGCCTTGCAGTTCTTGTCTAGAATTTGCGATTGTTGTTTGCGTTTTGGGTGGGTTTTGGAGGTTCAGGGTTTGGCTTGCATTTTGTTGGTTTGGAGCTTAGGGTCTGGTAAGAAGGGTCCAAAGAGCTGGGAATAGAAATGAGGGAGAGTAACTGGTGGGGTCCGTCTTTCGAATTAGCGCAGAACCTAAGTGATGTGGTCTTGCTTCAATCGACTGGCGGTTAAGTCAGTGTGTATTTGAGTAAGGCCCCCACTCAGCAATAGTTGAATAATATTCATAATATAGATATATTAGGACCTTAATAGTAGCCCTACTATAGACTCTTACTGTAGGGGGGCAGTACCTAAGTGTGTATCTGACTGGGGCAGCTTGTTGATTCCTTTCGCGACAGGTGCATGCTGTGGCATGCTCACATTTGGGCAAACGAGTTCTTGGGATTTCTGGTTACATGTCAGGCAAGGACCCTTAACCCTAAGCCCCTGTATCAGCAAGTTGCAGCAAAGTTCGCAGATGCCTCAAACATCTCTCGCTGCGACCTCTGTGAGGCATCTGTACTTTTCCAAGCACCACAATGGTGAAACCTTGCAGGGATCTGAATCGTGAATCATCCGTAATGACCTACCTTAAGACCGGAATCCGAACTTGAAATCCAGACGAATAGAAACCCGAAGCCCCAAACCCCTAAACCTGAATCCTGCAGTCGCGCACGTTTGTTAGGCTCGGCCTGCTTGCAGCGGTCTTACTACCCAATCCTCGACAAGGATGGCAAAGAGGCCGACGGCTTAGGTGTTCATCTAGAGCATAAGCTTACACGATGGTATTGCTGAGTCTGATGATTGCACTCGTGTTCCCAACGGCTCCATGTACCCATATGGTAGGTACTTAGGCCTTAAAGTACCCACATATGCACCCCTTTAAGGCCTAAGTACCTACTATATGGGCACATGGAGTCTTAGGGGTTTTGTTGGAGGGGCAACGAGTAAGTAACGACTATGTGGTAGGCAGGTACAGGATGACAAAAGCCGTAGCCAGACTACACACCCGGTAGATGATTTTCAAAATACGCACTATAAGAATCATAACCAGAATCATAAAAAAAACAATATTTCTAGTGATTATACTGATAATACGTTCTGCAAACTCTGGAGGATCAGCAGTCTAAGGCACCCTCAAAGATTGAGAAGGGACCCTTGAGCCCCAAACTTCACTTCCTCGAACCGCCGTCGCTAGAAGCAGCATTCCGGGTAACGTCACATGGCCTTGTATAACAATAAAAACTAAGACATGTCTGATTCTTATACATGAGCTTGCCTGTTGTTTTTGATTTGGGCTGCAGGTCTTGAGACCTGCGAAGCTTTTGATAGCTTATTGGTGTTGATACGTAGCGCTCGAAGCAGAGCTGCAGCAGTTCTGACCCGAGGATTCAGGCGATGTAGGGTTCTGTCACTAGTATCCCCATGAGGATATCCCAAAGCTACACTAGCGCCCTGCAAAAGTCTCGGGAGAAGGCTTACTTAGAGGCTCAGGGGACCTTGCAAGGAGGTTCTTGTTGGTGTTGAGTGTATTCGTTCATTGGAGTTATCCTCATTATTCCCCCTAAACCCAAAACCCTAAACCCTGCACCCAAAACCCTAAACCCTAAACCGTAACCCTACTTTTGAACTACCTCCAGAGCCTTGAAATCAGCTTTAGGCAAGGGTTCGTAAACTGGGGTTCCATGAGAGGTTTTGGGGAGTTTGGGAGCTTCGGATATCGATCCTACGCTAGGGGCCTGCGCTTCTGGTAGCAGTATCTCATCATTGAGTCATAGTCCCTGTAGCAAAAACCTATACAAGTACAGGAACAAAACGGCAAACAAAGATAGATCCATGTACATACATACCACAATGTACTCCACAACCCTGTACTACCCACTCAGGGCACTTATAGCAATAATTTGTGAGCTGAGTGCTTTTCAGTCGTGGAGTCTGTTACAGGCGTTTGAAAGCACGCAATCCCCCCTATCGAGCAGAGTGAGAGGATGCTTATGTCGGAGACTCTACATATAGGTACGGTTGAGGATATACATCCTGCATTACCTATAATACGGAGCATACCATATATCCCATAGTTTAGGGTCATGCAGGGTTTATATCATCAACCGTATCCCCAACCTGAAGAGGCTCCTACAAGACCTGCAAAACCCACGAAACACTCCCTCGTGCAGCCCCACGACATCTGGGATCTTCTGGGCATTACGATGCTCCTCTTCAGCGTCAATCTCTTCGCTGTGGGGCGGAAGCAACTTTGATCGAAGTAATAGCCTCCCAGAGCGCCTCAACTCATTGCTCATATCATTGTAGGAATCTACATGGCTAGTATAATACAATGTCGTAAGGCTTAATCAGGCTCCCTCTTGCAACCCTGTTATGAGATTCCCTAAGATGCCAGTCTGATTTTTCAGCCCCTCTAATTGCTTTCGCAGAGACACCAAATCTCTTCAACCAAAGCTTCATAAAGTGGTTCATATGAGGTTTTTTTTTTTTTAGCAAATTTACGGTTTGACATGTTGGGTGGAGTAAGCGTTGATGGCGCAGGCGTTTGCAGAATCTACACCCTAAACCGTATCCTGAACTTCATGTAGATCCCAGGTCAGAGCAGTATACAGCCTAACCCTAAACTCTAAGATGCTTATCATTCAAAGCGTTAGAAGAAGGTTATATAAAGCTTCACCACCCTTCTCACCCTTCTTGACGTAGGGGTTTCTTACAATTGGAGGGGGGTCCGTTTGGGGAATCTTTAGCTACTGGGTAGGGAAGTCGGGTTTTGCTTGCGAGCCCCTTTCTGAAACTCCTGTATATCATGGCCTGACCTATCAGATTTTTGTGGTTTCTGGAAGGATATCGGTGATACAAGGAGTCTCCGGTTCAGAGGTTTATGGGTCAGACGTGACGTCTAGAGGGGCCTGAATCGTTGAGAATATCGCTGGATTAGATTCAGAGACGAAGCTGAAATTTAGCACAAGTGCGTAAAGACACCATGGAGGTCTGAAGAGATTAGATTGCTATGAAGGCACCTTCTGTTTTGGGTACTGCCACGTGGCGATTAGATTGTATGAACCACCGATCGATCGAAGGAACTTATTTAACCAGGGTTTCTGCGGTGTAGTTATTCTAGAGTGACCACCTAAGATTGGCAAGCCTGGGGCTACAGGTAGAGATGATGCCCTATTTTCGTCCGTACATACTTATGCTTATAGTTTTACTGCAACATATCTAAACCGACCCTATTCTGATGACTACTGCGCTGCGGAGTACTTTGGTCTGAACGACGAGCCCTAGAAAGCGGCCGCCCCAGAACATTGTGCGGCTGATCCCTCCTACCAAGAAGTAGACAGTTTGCAGTAGCGACAGTTTCTGTATAGTGTAACCGTGAAGCCACCAGTTTTAGATGGCCCCGTCTGAAAGGTACTACATCGAGTGGCCCTGGCATGGACTTATACCACTGTTCCAGAGTTGACGGCCACAGTGGAAAGTTGTTTCAGTGTTTCTGGGTGCAGGGATGGGAAGGTCAGGTAAGTTGTGCGCCGAGATGCTTCGGATCCAACGGAGCCTCTCAGGGTACACCTGAAACCCCCCAAAACCGACCTTTTCTGAGGCAGCATATACAGAAACCAACCCTAAAAGGGCAGGTTTTTTGGGCTACAGCTGGCTTTTTGGGATGCACTCTTTGAGCATTGCCACTAGGATTCCCGCTGCTTTGCTTACGCTTCATGGTTTCCCTGTCCAGCACCGCCGAAACCCGCTTTTTTCCTTACCCAAGAACCAGGGATCCAAACCAACAGCTAGATGAACCAACATTGAGAAGACATCAAACGGAGAGCACAGGCAGCACCACTTGAGAATACACGGAGGGTTATGCATGCAGTCTAAGGTATCGGATAGTTGTGTTGTCAATCCTGCGGACCCTGCCGTGTATCAATCTGACAATAAACCCTAATGCGAAGACGCGCTGAATTCAACCCAAAACCTGCAAACTTCGAGCTTAAAGCTTTGAAGCATTCTGGTTTACCAAAATCCTGGACATGCGGAGGGGCGGGGGGGTCATGATTTTTATACCACAAGTGCCCACTGCTCAGGACCAAAAGCGCTCGCTTATCGGGGAGGTCCTGAAATGAGACAGTGACTCTGCAGCTCCGATTTTCTGTTTGTTTCATAACTTGGGACTTTGGGACTTTGGTCCTAATTCGGTGCAAGTACTAAGATTGCCTACCCAGTCCCCTTACCCCATTGAGGGTCCTTGAGAGTCTTGGTTTGCCAGGAAGGGCCAGCGGACGAAATTCATCTACGATGGCCGTCAGCGGGAGGCTGACTGTCGCTGCCGATGGTTTACACGAGATCTGGGCGAATCTAGGCACTGCCAAAAGCTTCATGCTCCGTAGTGCCTGAGAACAACAGGCGTTGGATTATGTAGGCAGGTTTTTACTTGAAGCTTGACCACAGCACTCAACCTTGTGTTAGGAAGGTAGCTGTAGGGTTCAGGGATATTGCGAAACTTCTGGCCAAGCAGAAAAACTTACGGTGTGAAGGTTGAGGGTTGCCTCCTTTCCAGATGTTTTGTCAAGGTCCATAGGCCTACCCGATATATAGATATGGTCTAGAGCAAAAGGCTGGTTGGCTTGAACCACTTTGACTTCGGGTTCAGAGCAGGTCTACGAACACAGGTTTCGGGGCAGCAGATCCCAAATCGTAAAAGCCAGGACACCTAGACCAGGCTACTTCCCCGACACTAAAGCCTCTACTGTAAGCCAGCATCATAGGACGTAGTTCCATTAAACCGCCAAGCCCCGAAATGCTTAAACTTTGCATCTTCAGGCAAGTGTAAGTCGGAATGTAAGTCAGCCTATAATCCTCGAAGCCCTGAGCCCTTAGCCCGGAAGGTTGAATAGCAAGGCCTCGTCCCTAAACCCAATTACCCAATTTACATGTAAATCCCTAAGGCCCTAAACCGAGCGTTCCCGCGATCTTTAGAAAGGCCACCCAGCGGATCTTCCGCATCTTGGAAGTCATGGCCCTCTCCTCAGAAGGGCAGCACAGAGGAAGAGGCTTGAAGACTTTCTGGCTGAGAGGGCTTCAGATTTGATTTTATTTTGTGGTATGTCGGAGAGGAGCACCCGTTTTCCTGCATATGAAGATTTACCACAGCGTTTCCAATTCGCAGACCCCAGTCCTCAAACCCTAATCCTAGATTTACCTGCTGAACCTGAACCAGAAAATCCTACACCCTATCCGAACCTTAAGACCCAATCCACCAGCGAACTCGGCTTTGAAGTGGAGTGCTTCGGTTTGGGAAGCGCTCCTTAAGGTATATCACAAGACCCCGTAGTATGCAGGAACCTAACATATACAGTCATAGAAACTAAAGTCGTGACCAGCAGCCTAAAGCCTAAATCGCAACAGATGCAATCCTACGGAACAAAATTTTGGGTAACACGCACGCATGCACGCACAGACATACGTCGCACACACGCTCATATATATATATATATATATATATATGTGTATATACATATATATATATACACATGTGTATGTATAATTATGTAAATAACTATATGTGTGTATATATATATGTATACACATACACATGCATGCAAACAAACATACATACATACATGTATGTGACTTTGTGTGTGTGTGTGTATATGTATAAACATGTACACCTCTACGTGTAATCACATGGAGAGATACAGATGTAGAATGATACAGATACAGATGCACACGTAGAGACAGATATAGGCACACATTCCTGTGTACATGTTATATATAAGTATGTGGCATATAGAGACAAAAAACTGTGAATTTATATACACATAGACATAGGCATGTGTGTATACATATATATATATATATATATATATATATATAGGTGTGTATATATGTGTGTGTGTATATATATATATATATATATATATATGTAAATACATATTATCACTGTCGCTTGACCTTGCCACTATCAGGTTCCTGTCCATGTCATTGTGCCGATGCTTCGGGGCTCGGTCATTGCAGAGAAGGCGCCCGGCCCGGCCCATGCAGTGGTTAAAGTTTAGGGTGGTTGGATTAAGGATGGGGGACTTTGGGTTTAGGTTTGTGGGGCTTCGCGTTCTGAGTTTCGTGCAGGATCTGGGAAGCAAACATTCTGGATCTTCGCAACGGCACGGCTTAGTTTCGGGAGTCGCCTAACCTCGGTTTTGTAGGATAGGGTTGCAGCTGCTTCAGGACTGCTCATGCACTGCTGCAGTTCGGTGACACCTGAATAGCTCTGGATCTGAAATCTGCGTAGACTTGGTGGTACCTGCCTAGTACATCCTGTTCCAGCTTTGTGCATACTTGTCAAGCTGGCCTCCCTTCTGGAGCTACCTGGACCCTCAGGAACCTACCCTTTTAGGGCCCCCTAATATGAGTTCTTTGTATAAGTCCCTAAAAAAGGTAGGTTATTTGGGATTCAGGTAGGGCTTGATACAGGGGTCGCGTGATTGTGTAGGGTTCAGGCGCCTTTTATGGAGATTGGGATCAACGTCGGCCTGGAGTGTGCGGTTTAGGGTTTAGGGGTTAGGGGTTTAGGGGTTTAGGGTTTAGGGGTTTGGGGTTTAGGGTTTAGGGTTTAGGGGTTTAGGGTTTAGGAGTTTAGGGTTTAGGTTTAGGGTTTAGGGTTTAACCCGTTAGGGTTGAATCTGAATCATCGGGCGGTTGTGGCTGTGGCACATTGAACAGAAACGATCGTCAACGCTACATCCATAGAAGTCGTGGGTCATAATTTCGTTACAATCCGAAACCCTTACCCGCCGTCTAAAGCAGTACAGGCCTTGTGAGAAAGTTTAAACCGCCCAGCCGTCTAACCGAGAGCCGATCTGTGCTCGAGCGCATTCCTGAGCAGGATTCAGGGTTTGCGGTTTAGGGGAAGTTTAGCACCCTAAGCTCAGCTCTAAACCGGATGTCGATGTCAAGGTCGATCGGGCGTCGATCCTCTTCGTGATGTTTGTGGATTTCGACCAGACAGCACGAAAGTGCTGCCGTCGGTGCTTGGTGATAAAGCTTTGGCCGTCGCGGGGCTCCAGCTACAGCTAGAGTCTAGAGGTTCAGGGTTTGGAGTTTAGGGTTTTTGTCACTGTGGCAGCTATGTAAGGCATCAGGGCAGCTTGTCTGCCTGCTGAATTTACATGCACCTGTCGGCCAAAATCGAGTTTCCTATTCTGTCTACCGCAGTTTGCAATGGGCCTGGTAAGGCTGTAGGGTGTTCGTAGTCGGAATTCATCAGAGAAGGATGTGTGGGACTTATTATGCTGCAGTGGGGGGTTGGGCTGTGGTAACTGTAGCAGTTGTAGCAAGGATCTAGTCCGAAAGCGAAAGCTAAATTCCACTGCTAGATCCAGGGTTGGCTCTTCACTCCAATCGAAGCCTCCATCCCAACCGCACGACTTTCCTTAAGCCTTAAGCACTTTAGATGGCCCTAAGCGCAAGGAGCAACCAGCAAGGTCGGAGCTTTTCTCAATCCACAAGTCCATTCAGCTGCTATAGGGTTTCGCTAGAAATCAAGGCCTACGTAATTTAGGGTTTGCGTGGCAGATGACGAGTCCTAGATTCTAGATACACCCAGTCAGAACATGGCAAGCCCGATTTGGGCTTCACATCAACGCCTGAATCAACCCTTGTTTTTGGAGCCACGTCCCAAAATGCCTCCTGCTGGAGCCCGACACGCTGTCGAACTTGTTTGGCCCGTCATCCTTGTGGTAGCTTCGGTTCAGGTTCGCAGTTAAGTTACATGCCTATTTACACCTCTCACCGTACTCAGTCGATTTCTGACTCGCGAGTACCCCAATACAACCATATAAACTCAAAGCCTTTTAAAGGATGAGCATGCCCATTTCGTATCATTTATGCCCCTTATACTAAAACCTGTCATGTCCTTTGCGGTGCCAGGAAAGAGCCACCGACCCAGACCACCAGCGTCTGTTGTGGGTACTGCAAAATGCTGGCATGTGCATGTGTTTTGGGTTGAAGGATTTGATTCGGAGTTTAAGGCTCAGGGCTTGAGGCGTATAAGGTTTAGTGTCTAGTTTGTGAGGAGTGTGGAGTGTACTCTTATACTAATGGCTTGTGATATTTTGATATGTAGCGCCATATCCTACATGCCCCAGATCCTGTACATACTCCTTTCATCGCATACCTAAACCATACTAAAACCCTACTTGCAACACCTCCAGCAGATTTTTTGAACATCTAAGTATGTCAGATGTAGAAAAATGTTTAGGGGGGTTCAGACAGACCCTGCTCGGCTCTTCCAGAACAGAAACGAACCTACTCAACGCCTACCTGGCCTCATCTGGCGATCTCATACCATCTCATACCCTGCAACCCTAAACCCTGAAGCTCCAGATCAAGCGCGGCTCAGGCCGGAAGCGCTACTGGCCTATTTGTTCCTTGGGGGCATTGAGTTTCTCCTGGGGGTTGCGGTCTGGGGTTGGTCCTTGGATTTGTTCAGCTTCACTTTTTTCGCGCGGCATGGAGAGGTATGTGGGTGTTCAGACTCCGGGTATGGGTTTTTGGGTTCGGAGGCAGAAACATCTATCCTTTTTCCTTAAGGTGGTACTGTTGTTGGTGGGGTTCTGTAATTCGCTGACCCAAAGATTTGGTGGTTTTCCAAGTCTGCCTTAAGAACGAGATGAACCCTAAAAGGGTCTAAGGTTCATCATATACCATATACGGATTCACAGTATATGGGTATAGGGCCCCTACTTTTAAGTGTCATTTGGTCCTTCAGGTGAGGCAGATATTTTGAGCATTGTTGGGAACCCCCACGCTGCTCCATGCAATTCCTGTACGCGTCATCTAGAAGCCCTGAACCCGAACCAAGCCCGCCCCTGGTTTGGGCGGTTCAGGCTTACCCTTTCTCGGCCTTCCTGACTGTATGTCGAGGTGTACAACCTTTCATACACACAACATATATATATATATATATCTACATATAATAACCACATTATCATCAAGATTATCATGTGTCCATAGTTGTATATGTTACTATACATATATATATATATATATATATATATATACACACACTGTTATGTAGACTGTAGACCCCTTTTTTTATGTCCTTATGAAGGTCGCCTCACATCTTAAGGAACTGAACGGGAGGGTCTGGAAAGCAGAGCTCGATAGCAAGGAACCATTATTTCACGAAGTTCGACGACATTTGCTCTGCCCATGAGGCCGAGGGGGCGCGGTTGGGTTTCGGGTTTAGGGGTTTAGGGTTTAGGGTTTAGGGGTTTAGGGTTTAGGGTTTAAGGGTTTAGCGTTTAGGGCGCATTGCTTCAGAGATTTTGGGGCTTCGAGTCGAGTTTTTGTTGGGACTTGGGACGCTTCGGATTCATGGGGCTTTGGGTTGTAGAGTTTAGATTACAGCGATTGCATCCTACCTTAAAGTCCCTAAACCATGGGAATAATGGTATTTTTGATGGCTAATGCAGGATTTATATCATCAACAGTATGGTGGAAGAAGACGCCAAAACCTTCTTCTAACCACCCAGGCTCCGGTATTATGGGACCTGTCGGCCTTTTGGTTTTTGGTGACTGGGGATTTACAGTAGAAGCCCTAAAGTTGGAACATCATTATCCTCGTGGCCCTAAGGTAAAGTAGAGGGGAACCCAGCACTGATCGTCCTAAATCCGTGTTCCAACTTTCCGGGATTCGCTGTAGGGTTGAGGACTTCGGGTTTAGGGTTCCGGGTTTGGGGATTAGAGGCGTGAGGTTTGAGTTTAGGGCTTTCGGGTGAAGGCACACCCTCAGTCCACCCGTCCGTAAAATAGACCTTGTAGCTTGCCTTTGTTTCGTAGGGAGGAATGGGGTACAATTAGTTATATATAACTACTATTACTACCATTCTTTTATTCTCTACTAACCAAAGGTCAGGTAGCAGCCGTTTTGGGGATCCTTTGTAGAAAGCCTTGAAAGAGCCTTTGTAGGAGTCGTCAAAGGAGCCCTTAGATGCAGCCTCAACTTCCGAACTGGTTTAACTGCGAGCTTCAGGGGTTTCATGTTGTGGGGCTTTGCTCGGAAGTTTGGGAGGGTTTAGGGGTTTGGGGCCTCAACATAGGGCACCCTAGAGCAGCATATCTTGTGACGGCTATTGACTGCCATGTGGGGTCCACCAGGGGCAATTAATTGTCGGAGTCCTGGCAGGGGAGTCTTCCGTTTTTTTTGCTTTGGCTGGGGCGGCTTTGGGGTCCTGCAAAGTGTCTAGATCTGCGTCAGGAGCTCAAGACGTTTGGAGTTGGTTTTGGGTTATATAGGTTTCAGATGCTACTAATCTCAAGGCAACATGCACTCAACACCCGAAATCCCATGCTAAGCCCGACATTCTACGCCCCAAACCCTAAACCCGAAATCCTGAACAAGACAGCCCAAACCCTTAACCCGAAACCCTAAGCCCTAAACCCGAAATCCTAAGCCACAATCCCGAACCCCGAAACCCCATGCCCTGAGTCCTTATAAATCCTAAACCCAATAGCCTGTTTGAGGCTCGCCTGTTTGAGGCTCTGTATACCATACGTACGATGTACAAAGAAACACTCATCAAAAGCAACACCTGGGAGTTGTGGGTTGCCGGCGTAGTGTCTAGGATGCAGGGGTAGGGATTTTTTCGCGGCACTGCCTTCAGGTCACCAAGATTGAGACCGTGGGCGAAGAGTGCGCAATCGTGATGGGTTTAGGGTTCTCCGCCATGTGCTGTAGCAAAGGCCTGCAACTTGTACGCAATTTCATTCTACATACACTGCCATGAACACTCCTTTGTTCTGGATTGTCCGCTTGGGCGGGATCGCAGAAACGCTTGTGCCCGTGGTGCATAGACTTCATGGTTGAGGAACCGCTTCACCGATACCAGGAGGTCCCAGTTTGCGGATGTCCTTGAAGAAAGGATCCTACATAAACTCCCTCGACCCTAAACCGGCTTTCACTCGCAGGTACGTTTCAGCAGTGGGCGTGATACCACGAGACATAGAGGCAAGCATTGCCTCTGCCTTCATCCTAGGCCACATACGTCCCAACGTTCAATCCCTAAAGCCTGAGGCCGTAAATCCCAAAGCGCGATGGCCTATCTGAACCTTGTTAAACCTTAACCTGGACCCCAAAAGTATGTAGAATAATAGCCTTGTATAGGTTTTGGGCCATGATTTTGCTTACTTTTGCGGGTCTAGGAAGTCCTCAAGCCCGAAGCTCGAAAACCTGGAGAAGCTGATGCAACCTTTAGGGTTTAGGGTTTAGGGTTTAGGGTTTAGCGGTTTAGGGGTTTAGGGTTTAGCGGTTTAGGGGTTTAGGGGTTTAGGGGTACACTTGCCTGAACCTGAAATCCTTCACATAGGTTTCGGAGGTGTGCGCAGTAGCTGCATCGACCCCGAACAGGAGGGAAAGCCCTCGTCTACCAAAAATAGCCGCAAAATGAAACCGCAAGCCCCAAGCTCTAAACTTGGAACCCTCAACCTTGAACTAGAGTCTCCTTGGGAATTATTTTTTGTTTTGTTCAGAGAAAGCCCAAGAGAATGTTAAAAGTATCATTTGTATTACGGTTCTAAGGGGAGTATAGCAAACCTTGGTAAACTTTAAACCCAGTTACCCTGAATCTTGAACCGAACCCCACACCCTAAACCCTATAAGCCCGAAACCCCCCATGCTTTTGGGCCCGGTCCCTGCATGAGCCTGAAAAGCAGATACTCAGGGGCGTAGACAACACCTTTCTGAAAATTAGGGGTACCTTTTTTCGGGGGCCTTATAATGAGAATCCTACTATTTTGGGTGCTACATTAGGGCCCCCCCTTTTTTCCAAAAGCTACCCCAATCCCCATGCCGGCCTATCAAAGTAGGCATCTATTTTGTTGTTCGGAACCCTGCAGATGTGGACGCCGTGGACGCGTGTCTTACGCCCCAGACCTTAACTCCCAAGCCCTAAATCCCTAAACCCTCAAGGAAAACGCCCCAGGCAGACAAGGCGATGGGGCACGCGGTGATCCTGGGACGCTTGATCAAGGCCACTGTGACGTCGGCGGCTTGGGGTTTCAAGCTATTTTTTGGTTGTGTTGAATAGAAAAATTTGACGGACTCCTGCGCTGCATTGAAAGGTTTGATAGGGTTTGTAGGGCTCTTGGGTTTTAGGGTTTTAGGGTTTCCTACCTTTTTGGGATTTGTAGTTTTATAAGATAAAGTTTTTTTTGAGTGTACATCTTGGAATTTAGGGTTTCAGGTCTATAGCCAGAGTGAAACAGTTTTCTCATTCACCAGCTCTTGCCCACAACTCAATCCCCCTTGAATCGAAGCCCGAACCCTACACCCTCAAATGCTAAGCCGCCGCACCCACATCCCCAAGTCCTACGCCCAAGCCCTAAAAACAGTTGAAGCCAAGGGGCCCCTTGGAGGTTGGGATGAGGGTAGGGTGGGACAGAGGATACAGTACCACATATAAGGTGACTTGGTATGTCTGTTCGGGAGATGTTCTAGTATAGAGAGTATAGCTATATAGGCACGACAAGGGGATGATATTCCAAAATATGCCGATCCCTGTATTCTTTGAGCTTCCCCCTACCTACCACGTGCGGAGCTTCTTGATAGGACCCTAAACCTGAAACCATATATGGTAGAAGCCATAAAGTTGGGACATTGTAATCCCTCCTGTGCCCTTAATGGGATCCTAGATCATCCTAAACAGATATCCCAACTTTCCGGGGTTCGCTGCAGATCCCTACGGAACTGACAGGCGGCCAAGGAGATTCTGATGGTCCAGCGAGACACACAAGGATCGGATGAGGCACGTGGGCCTTTAAGAAGTGTTTGAGGCTTTCATAGGTTTGCATCACGGGTTTATGAGGTTCTATAGGGTTTGATTTGAGTCATAGGATTTAAGGTCTCAGTTTGCTACTTTCTTGGTCGAAGGGCTTAGGGCTTGAGGTTTTTTTGGGCTACCTGGTGATTAATTAGGTTTGGGTTTCGTATGGAATTGAGAGCACGCAGCTGAGAAGTCTTGGTTTCGGGACCGTGACCTGTTTCGTTAGGAAACGGAGTCAAGGCCCATTAAGCCCCAAGCTTTCAACCCCTCCTCCTCGACTCCTAAATTCTAAACCCTCAGAGATTGGATCGAAGTTGTAACCGTAACCCCCAAGCCCTGAACCCTGAACCCTTCAGCTAGAACTGCGCCCGAAGCCAGAACCTAATCGCCGACAACCCGAAATAATAGAGTTTAGTGTTTAGGATTCAGGGTTTAGGGCTAGGGTTTAGGGTTTAGTGCTTAGGGTTCAGGGATCATTTGGAGGGCTTCGGGCTTAAGATTTGAATTTTGGGTTTGGGGGGGTTAAGGTTTAGGGCTTTAAATCCGCAAGCCTGAGCAGGAGGTGAAGCTGAAGATGGGCATTCACACAGGGCCGGTTGCCCACGGCTCAGATGGCCGGTTTTCAGCAGGTTACCCTAAACCCTGTACGCTAAATCCTAGGGTTCGGAGATTTAGAACCATGTTCGGTAGTGTAGGGTTTTCAGCTGAGGGTTCGAGAAGCGCTAGTGCTTGTCTGATAACATCAACCCGAACCCATCAACCACAACTAAATTGGATAGACAGCCAACGGGAGAGCTTTAAACTTCTCGACCGTACGTACGTAGTCTTTCTTCGCAAGTTTGATATGTTTTATTGGCTGGGTTCTTCTATTTTATATTCTCCTTAGGATTTAGTTTTGTTCATATAAAACCCAAGAAAATGTTAGACATACTATGTTTATCATGGCTCTAAGGGAGGTATAGTCTTGAAGAAGAGAGACTACTCAAACCAGCGACCTGAATCCCAATTGGCGAATTTTTGAAGTGCTTTACGGAAGGGTTGGCCAGAAGGTAAGGTCAATTAGCAATACTAGGCGCTTAGGTCCGTAGTAGACATTATGCACTTGATCCGTAAAGCTAAGACCGGAACCATTGCAGTCTTTGCTACTCTTAGTCCTACCCTACGGCTCTAAGGACTCGTGTGGTAAGGCTTTTGGGGCCCAAAGACCATACTATGTGAGGCTTTTGGGCTATTTTGAGCCTTCGGGTTAGATAGTACAATATACTTGAGCCCCACGCCCTATTCTCTCCTTCCAGGGCCAGGGTGGAGCAACCCATGAGCTCAGACTGAGGAACCCCAAAGCACGTAGGTTTCAAACCCTACCTTAACCCCACATAACCGACCTTTTTAGGGACTTATGTAAAGAAATCATATTAGGGGGCCCTAAAGAGGTAGGTTCCTTGGGGTCCAGGCAAACCCTAAACCCTAAAACGTTCCGGGAAGCTCGGAACCTTGTCACCAGAAACTGCACCAAAGCCCCAGCCCCCCCAAGACCCTTAGCCTGACGGCGTTAACCCCGAAGGCAGGGTCGCCCGCACTGGACAAGGCCCACTGCATCATCAAAAATAACCGAACGCTACCCCCCTAAGCGCTGAACCCACCAAAGCCCGACAGGCCCCGAAACAATGCTGAGGTCGCTGGTGTCATTGGCCAGAAGCTGCCCAGGCCTTGTGCTTTTTTTGGGGAAAGATGCTCGGTTAGGGCCAGGGTCTGTTGTTGAAATCAGAGTTTACAATGTCGAAAGTAGTTTGTCGTTCTAGTTCGAGGCCCAGGACAGCCGACAGTCTCGCAATATTTGTTGATCCAACATGCTTTGGAGAAGAATCCCTATTGACTGCAGGTGAGAGGTAGCTCATGCAAGCAGCCAAGCAGCTCAAGTTTAACCATTTCTGAAGGATGTCATCGATTCGGCTGCCGGCTCGGACTTGAAATTTGTGGAGCCAGAGAACTCTCAGCCCTCTTCTTCCGTGTAGCTTCCATACCTTGCAGTTTGATCGCGGTTCGTTTTCGAACATCGGGCAAACGGGGTGTGAGGTTCCCTTGGAGCGGGGTGATCCTTGAGGAGTCTGGAGTCCGGTGTCGTGGGATCCTCGTGGAGTCCACCCCGAAACACCAGTCAGACCAGCCCAAAAAAGGGCCGTAATGTATCTAAATATCTACCTATACTTTTTTTGTTTTTTGTTTTTTTTTAGGGGGGTCCTTGTCATAGTTATAGTCGGGTGTCCCAACGAAACCCTATTCTAACTGCTAAGATCACACACTTGGGGTTTACCGGCCGCACCTCAACATGCCTTACAGCTTTTTTTGCTGGGCACGAATATACAAGCATGACCTCACGCAGACAAAAGGGTTCAGGTGGGCTAAGGCGGCTAAGGTAGCCTGAAGCTTCTGATCTTGTTGGAGGTTCCGACTCTTTGGCGACACCATCAACACGGCTGCCCGTCTCATGCAGAAGGCAGGACTCTCTACCCTTCTTCTGTTGTCTAGAGTTCCTTCGCCACTCCATGCCGGTAGATTCTTCACCGGTTTACCCCGAACACCGATCGAAATGCTAAGGGCAAAACCCTACCAGGACTGTAAAAGCTTGAGTCATACACCTGTTTCCCTTTCCATACTTTCTGTCTTAAGCAGGAAAGCCTGCCTCGGATTTGTCGGCCCTTCATATTCATTATCTCCCTAAACCCTAAACCCTAAACCTCGAGCCCAGCATCCTGGCTAAACGGTACCTACGCAGATGTGCGCAAGCATCATAAAAGCATAGGCGCATTTTCTGTAAAGGCAAGCACAGCAGTCAAAGACCCAAGCCTAAACCCTTAACCCCTAAACCCTAAACCCCGGCCTTAACACACCCTATAGATCTGATACCCTAATGCAAGCCTTACATTGGCCCTTTAGGCTTCTAAACCTTGAGCATTAAACCTTATTGCAAGTCCTGTACTCTAAACCCCAGATTCTCCTGCTATTCCGAAGTTTGTGTACTGAAGCTTACGTACACCCTCAAACCCGCGGAGCCGTTGGCCCTTGACCAACAAAAGCCACCTAAAATCCGTCGCGCCAGTAAGCCGCATGTCGGGCAATCACTCATAACTCTACAACTTTACACGCTGCGGAACATGACTACTTACTACCGTAAGTCCCCCAATCTCTCCAAGTGCCAGGGCCTGCCAGGCGAGCTGCAGTTTGGGGAGGCAGGATCAGGGTCGTTGAATGCGCCTCCGGAAACACGAGGTTTTGGTATCTGTGGTGTAAGACCTACTTTCTTTGGGGGTACGGATTTAGGGACAAGGGTGAAGGTCGTGGAGTATAGGACTTTGGCATTAGGATCTTGCGTTTAGGCGGCTCGGGTTTGAGGGAATTGTAGTGATCCGTAAACCCTAAACCCTACACATTCTTAACCCTGTAAACAGTAAACCATGAACCCTTTAGGCCTCGGTTCAGGCTTTAGGGTTGTTTTTCATATAAGGAATGCCTACTACAGGGCTTCTAAGACTCATAGGGTTCGGAGTGTGTCAACTCCCTTTCTTAGGGCCTCGAAGTTCGTTTGGCAATTGCAACCCGGATTGAGGTTGGACCGGGGGGGGATCTGCATCAATACAGGGGCCTGGGTACATTGGGAACACCACTCCTTCGCGTTACTTTTCGTATACCAAACCCTCAACCCTAAAACCTAAACCCTAAGCCTTAGTCTAACTATTCAGACACCTTCTTGCAAGGAGAGAGTCGCTTTATTCACAGCCATATGCCACATCGACGTGGCCGCGAAAGCTTCGTATCGCACTACTTGCTCATGTGGGCCAGGTTTGGGCAAAACAACCACCAGATCCTTACAGCGTCAGGTTCACTCTCTCGCTCTTCCTCTCCCCCCGAATACCAGCAGTAGTCCTATGATGTTCTATAGTCTGACGATTGTGATCCGACATCTTTGTCGCCACCAAGGTCATGATAGCCCAGAAGGAGTTGACCATGTCATTTTACGACAGTGAGATGCAACCGACATGAAAACCATACTAATATAGGGGCCTCAATAGTTACCTACACTATTTTGGGGGCTGCCTATTATAACTAGTGTATCATGTACCCCCAAACTCTATTCGAATTCAGGCCCCTATACTAGGTGCCCCGAACTCGAACTTCCGCTTCGAGGCCACGAAATCGTGCTTGCCCAGGGGTGTGGCGACCTCAGGGGGGTTCCTACATCTCAGAGTTTAGGGTTTATGGTTTAGGGTTAGGCTTCAGGCTTAGGGTTTAGAGTCTGGGTTTGGGGTTTAGGGCCTGGGGTCGAGGGTTTCGGATTGAATCAGGGCCTTAGGGTCTGTCCTGGAGGTCGGATTGAAACCTGCCCCATAATCCCTGGGCAACGAGCCAGGAGCCCTGCAAAACAGCAAACTCTATATCGGGAGTTTCCGAAAATTAGGGCTAACTTTATAAGGATCATATTATTTAGGGTACTATATATGGTCCCCTATTTACGGAAGCTCCCTTCTCATTGTGAGGCCCCAGGAGGGTACTGTATGTCGTTGATGTTATAACGGCCTTGCAATGGGACTCTGCTAGAAGAGATCGGAGCCATGATTCATACGCACCTCCTTTTGCTGTTCCAAAGCAAGGCCAAAATATACCCCAAACCTTCTGCAGGCTCTTGCATAGAGTCCGAGGTACGTGTGTTTTTGGTACACATCTATGTTACCGGCAACAGAGTTTCAGATTTCGGACTGAGGATGGTAGGGTTCGGGGTTCTATAGTAAAAGCCAGAAAGTTGGAATATTATTATCCTAAACCCTTTATGGTAAATTATAGGGTATCCTACCCTGAAACCATATTCCAACTTTCTGGACTTCCCTGTAGGATGTATGTTTTCGGGTCTGGAGGTTGCAGTTTAGGGTATAGAATACCTCACAAATCATGCGTACGGCAAGTCCTGCACCCTGAACCGTCAACATACAAAATTCAACAAATACTCATCCGTTTCCTTAGGGTTCTTTTTTGTGCATGTATATTGTAACAACCTACTCTGATCGAAAGGGACCTTAGCATGTTTGTCCGAAAATCCAGTGCCTTGACTGTCTGACTATGACACTGAAGCCCCAAACCTCTAAACCCCCAAAGCCGCAAACCCCTAAGCCTAAACTGGCTCTAAAATGGCTCGACCCTTAAAGCCCATAAAGCCCCTAAAGGGGGCTGGAGATTTTTTTTTTGTGTTTTTTTTGCGTTTTTTTTTGGGGAGGGGGGGGGGCCCTGGCTTCTGTTCTTTCCTAGGAACGGGGGGCACGGATACGGACCCAGGGACCGGGACTGGGTTTGCAACCCAGTTACGCTTCTCAATATCATGCGGAGGCCTTCCTGCCCAGAATACAGGTCAGAGTAAGAAACCTGGTTCTGGAGACCGACTCACTGTCATATACATATACATATGTAATATGTATATATATATATATATATATATATATATATATATGTATCACCTGTGTGTATATATAAATATATGTACACACACATGTGTATATATATATATGTACATATACACATATCTATACATATATATATATATATATGTGTGTATGTATGTTTGTGTATGTATGTGTATATATATATACACATATACATATACATACCTACATATAAACAAATAAATAGATAAATTTATAGATATATACGTAAACATGTATTCACATACATACATACATATATATATATATATATATATATATATGGATATATACATATATACATATGTACAAATGTACATATATACAATTATATATATATATAGAAATACATATCTATGCATATATATTTGAGAATATATAGATACATATTTACTTATATTTACGCAAGCATATATACATAGAAATATGTGCACATATACACATATATATACAAACACACACACACATACATATATATATATATATACCTGTGTATATATACATAGATACATACATACATATATATATATATATACACATACATATATATATATACATATATACACATCTGCTTCTCGACACATACACATGTAAACATACATATACACATATGTACATTTGTACACATGTACACATAAGTACATATATATATATGTACATATACACATAAATACATATACATATATACATATATACATATATACATATATACATATATACATATATACATATTTACATACATACATATATACATATATACATATATACATATATACATATATACATATATACATATATACATATATACATATATACATATATACATATATACATATATACATATATACATATATACATATATACACATATACTTATATACATATATACATATATACATATATACATATACACATATATACATATATACATATATACACATATACACATATACATATATACATATATACATAGATACATAGATACATATATACATACACGATTTGGGTTTTGTTTGGGGCCTGGGGTTTGGGATTTAGTAAAGCCTAAAACCCGATCCAAGGCTTTGGGTTTATGGTTTAGGGCGCGGTCGGCCCTACTTTACTCACTCTCACTCTATCTCACTCTCATCCTCACTCTCACTCTCATTCTGGCCCACAACGCACTTCTCCCATCTTGCATAGCCGAACAATCCAGGTTTTGCCTGTGCGTTTTCCCAGATCCTCAAAGCGCACATGCTTGCATGAAGCCATTTTGGCTGGTGTGAATAGCTCGATGTAGCAGGACGCATCATGCAGGGAAACTTAGAGAAGACACGGACACAGGCACAGACACACGACAAAGCAGTGATCGAAGCAAGGCCCACCCCACACAGCAAGGATCCTGCAAAGTGCATTTTCCCAGCCTGCGTTAACGCACTGCGGCTCTGTGGAGGGAAATGACTTGGTCGAAGAAGGCTGACCCAATACCGAAAGGATCCTGCAAAGTGCGTTTTCCCGGCCTGCAGCGCAGTGCAACTCTCTCATGGGCCTATAACCCATCCCGCCTCACCCGGCCCACGCACACCGCGCAAACGTCCACGCAGGCACCGGCCAGGCATGTGGATTGACACTTAGGATCTCACTTGTTTGTGTCGCTATTGTCTTAAGTTTGTGTGTCACCTGTCTTCTTCGATTAATCGAAAGCCTCCGGACCCAAATTTGACCAGTTTTGAGGCTTGCATCTGAAAGCCGCGATCTCGTCGATCATCTTAAGCACTGAAACCTAGACGCATCCTGCTTGTGTGCATCCAAGCAGAGCTGAGTCTTGTTGCAGGATAGCAACGAGAAGTATCTCCGCAGATTCCCTAAGAGCAAGCGTGGAGCTCAGCTAGCTAGCTTCTTCCCTCATCAGATCTCATCAGTGTTGCCACACAGCAGAAGTCTTATGTCTGGACATTCCAGATTTAAAGAGAGGGCCACACTTGTCTAGCCAGGCTACTTTTCTGGACCAGACAGTTGAAGATCCAGAATAAGATTGAGGGAAACACCAAGAACGATATCATTGCCTCGCTGGCACGTTTGCAGGGTTTCCCGGAATGCAGAAAATCTGAGGGCCTGCGTAGCCCGGCACATTGATTGCAAACCTTTCCCTCGCGAGTTTGTTTTTGTGACCACTTGCATCTGCCAGGACCTGTTAAAGACAGTGAAGAACATGTGGCCGGCAACCGAGGCTGGAAGGGAAGTGACTACAACAGCCGCTTGTTCGGAGGCAGCATATGTGGTTTATTGGCGACATAGCGCAAGATGTGGTTGATGCCGAAAGTATGTTGGTGTTGTCCTTCTTCACGAGCTTGCAACGTCATGGGGTTGAACAAGAAGCCGGCGTGCACGTTGGACACTTGAAAGTTTTAGTTCGGCATTGTAATGGAGGGGTTTAACTACAGACCTCTGGGCTTCTTGGCTTGCTACGGTCTTCATTTCGGTGTGGTCTATAACGAGTTTCAGTATTACTACATGTAGAAAACAGTTGAGTTCCCGGTATGGTCAACATCTCTCAACATAATGCCCGTGACGGGAAGCTGAAATGACACGCCATATATCGCCAGAGACCTGAACTAGAGAGTGGGCCTGCAGGAAGACTGGCTGGCATATCTGGCGTGTTGGCCCTCGCGGCAGAAGGTGACCGAGGTCAGAGCCGGGAGCATTGCAGAATTTCATTGTGGGTTGGGAGAAGCTATCACAGGCGGTTTCAGTGCATCACATCGGACAAATCCCAGATGTCTGACGTCTTTGTGTTGCAATGTGGCATGAGATCTATTTAGTGTCAAGTTGTGATTATGAACAAACATCATCATCTCAGCACTGGGCGCTTTAAAGCAGTCTCGGATCTTGTTGCTGGGGCATCAGCAGAGTTTACATTTCAAGTGAGAAAGGCCGCACCTCAAGATCATGAAGCGAACGGAACGGCTGAGAGAGCGGTGAGAAAGTTGCGAGAGGGACTTCAGACTTTGAGATCAGATCTTAACCAAGAAAACCTAGATTTGAATTTTTCCATTGATGCTTTTGCTTCTGCTTTGAACTTTTTGTGTGCAAGCTTTAACCGCTTTGCGAAAGCCCACGGGAGCGATTTGGCTCCAATCGATATCGCGATCGGGCGTCCGGCACACACAGGCCTTTTCACCATGTATGGAGCAACCGTCCTTGCTGAACTACCCCAGTCCATGCGTGAGTTGGCTCCCAACATGTCGAGATTTGTTGAAGCCGCTTTCCTGCATCCTGTGCTTTGTTCGCAGGCGGTGAGGGTGTGTGGCTTGGTTCGGATTGATTCGAGTATGGAGCTGAAGTTTTTCAATGCCACTTCCGTCAAGATCTGCGTTCCACTGTCGTAGCGTTTGGAGCTTGTTGAAGGCTTGCTGAAGCCGTTGGGTTCGGGGCCAAGGCAAGAGCTGCCCTCAGAGCCAAGGGAGTCCTTGGCACCACCCATTTTCTGTATAAGCACTTTTATATCGTTACGCGGCATTGAGTTAAGGCCATTTTTGCTATATCTAGTTACAGCCACATATATGTATATGTATATATCTATGTGTGTATCTGTATATATATATATATATTTTTTTGTACATATTTCCAACGGTTGCATCCTGCCTGTCGCCCGGCTGCGCCAGACTCCCAGACAGGCCACAGCAGACCACGAGCAACAAAAATAAAAATAACCCCCCCCCTCTAAAGCCCTAAACTCCTAAATCCCAAAAGCCCCAAAGCCCCTGAAACCCGAAACCCCTGGAGCTGGCTCGGACCGAGGTTGCCTATCGTTGGCGCGACAACATTGAGATGAAGGGAAAGGGGAAGGCCTGGGCCTAACGGTTGTTTAAAAGGGATTAGGGTTTGGGGGTTAGTTGTTAAGGGGTGTTCAAGGGTTCCTTTTAGGATTCGTGTAGGTTTCTTTTGGGAGCGCGTTCTTTACCTCAGGGGAGGTCCTGGCTTTATGGGCGTTAGGTTCTTTTGGGGAGGGGTTCAAGCTTGAAGCCTTCGGTTCGAACCTATTCTTAGGCATTTCATGTAGTTCAGTGTTTTGGTTCATTTGGCCGTAAACCCTAAACTCCTAAACCCTGCAACCCCTAAACCCTGAACCCTATAGACCCTAAACTCCTAAACGCTAAACCTCGAAACTCTAACCATAAACCTCGATAAAAACCCCTAGACCTTTAACCCTTAACCAGAAAGCTGACTGTCCTTCGCAAAGACCCTACAATCCAGGGTCTGGTCCGGGTTTCAGGTGTAGCTATGGGTTACAGTTAGTAAAGCTTAGCAGAACTGTGGGTTTAGGGTTTGGGGTCGAGGGTATAGGATTGAGGCTTTAAGGGTTTAGGGTTTGTTGAGGGTTGGAGTAGGAGTAGGATTGAGCGCACCAGCTGTTACAGTGCCGTTTTGAGAAACGAGGGGATGGAATACTAAGCGCTGGGCTTCGAACCCCACATTTACATTGCCGTTCATGTCCCCATCTTCTGGCCAATGATCTCATGCTTTAGAGTTCTGTTCCCCAATCGGGAAACTGTCCACGTTTAGTATTGGTGAACCTAAGCCCCAAAACCGCTAGATTAAATATCCCTAACTACCCCTACATCCACAAACCCCTAAACTCCTGATCCCAAACATCCTAAAGCTCTAACAACTTCTAAACCCTCAGTCCCAGACCTATAAGCCCCCTAAGCCCTCTAAACCCTCTAGACTCTAAACCCTAACTAAACCCTAGACTCTTTAAACCCTAAACCTTCTAAACCCTAAGCGCTCTAAACCCTAAACCCCCTAAACCCCCTAAACCCTAAACACCCTAAACTCTAAACCCTAACTAAACCCTAGACTCTTTAAACCCTAAACCTTCTAAACCCTAAGCGCTCTAAACCCTAAACACCCTAAACTCCGTAAACTCCCTAAACACCCTAAACTCTAAACCCTAACTAAACCCTAGACTCTTTAAACCCTAAACCTTCTAAACCCTAAGCGCTCTAAACCCTAAACCCCCTAAACCCCCTAAACCCTAAACACCCTAAACTCTAAACCCTAACTAAACCCTAGACTCTTTAAACCCTAAACCTTCTAAACCCTAAGCGCTCTAAACCCTAAACTCCGTAAACTCCCTAAACACCCTAAACTCTAAACCCTAACTAAACCCTAGACTCTTTAAACCCTAAACCTTCTAAACCCTAAGCGCTCTAAACCCTAAACCCCCTAAACCCTCCAAACCCTAAACACCCTAAACTCTAAACCCTAACTAAACCCTAGACTCTTTAAACCCTAAACCTTCTAAACCCTAAGCGCTCTAAACCCTAAACCCCCTAAACCCTCCAAACCCTAAACACCCTAAACTCTAAACCCTAACTAAACCCTAGACTCTTTAAACCCTAAACCTTCTAAACCCTAAGCGCTCTAAACCCTAAACCCCCTAAACCCTCCAAACCCTAAACACCCTAAACTCCCTAAACCCCTTAAACCCCCTAAACACCCTAAACACCCTAAACTCCCTAAACACCCTAAACACCCTAAACTCTAAACCCTAACTAAACCAGGTACCCACCTGGCTGCTCGGATCTTCGGAGGACGCCTTGCGCATGGGGGAGGGTCTTCGGGGTTTAGGGTTTAGGGTTTAGGGGGTTTAGGGTTTAGGGTTTAGGGTTTAGGGTTAGGGTGGGCTTTTCGCAGTTCCCTTTCGGATTTTGAGGCTTGTTTAAGAGGTTTTAGGGTTAAGGCTTTTCGGATTTTTTTGGGGGGGAGGTTAGGATTTCTTACGGGTGAGGGTTCTGTGTTTTTTGTAAGGGTTCCATTTCCATTCGTTGAAGGATTTAGGGTTTACGGTTGTTTGGTTTTGTGTGGGTTCCTTGTTTGAGGGTTCCGGGCTTGGTGGCGCCTCGAGGAGTGCCGTTGTTTTAGAGTTTTGGGGGTATAGGGTAGTAGCTTACGTTTCCGTTAGGGTTGAATTTCAATTCCTGAGTTCTCCCCCCTGGTGCATGAGAAGTGTCCTCAGTTCCTGCATTGCACAGCTTTTCACACAAATCCGGAACTGTCTGAGAAACGAACACCACTGCAGTCTGTAAGCCTTTAATCAAACTTTAATCACTTCCAGCTGGTCGTATCGAGAAAACCCTAAATTAGTAACATGTTTCGAACAGTCAGACTGAAAGCATCACCACCGTTTAATGCCTATTTCCGGTTAGGGTTCAGGGGCAAGAACAAGAGCAGGAGCAAGAGCAACAGCCACAGAAGGGGCAAGCTCACGAACTTGAGCAAGAGCATCAGCAAGGGCCAAGAGCAGGAGCAACAGCAGAAGCAAGATCAGGGGCAACAGCAAGAGCAAGAGCAAAATCTGGGAGCTAAGAAACAGGACAGCAAGAGCAAGAACACGCTTCTATGCCGTTTGATACTCAGGGATGCGACTATATGCAATCCTGAAGCCAGCTAGCCTAAACCCTTGAAGCTCCAAAATCCTTAAAAACCCACAACCCCAAAAGACCCTGATATAGGGGCCTGAAGACTTACCAGTGGTATTCCTCAAAGTTCCTAGTGTGTGTGTGTATATATATATATATGTATATGTATTCCGACACACCCCATGGCCCGACACTAATTCTTACAGACGCTTATCATACAGTCGATCAGCCCTGTACAGAACTTTTCGACATGAATCTTTTCGCAAAACCCATAGAAAAAGAAACTAACCGCCCGTAGAACTTGAAAGGCACATTTTACAAAGTCCAGTAAAAACAACAAAAACCTATTCTGACCATAAAGGCCAAGCCTTGAGACTCGTCTCATCGCAGGGTTAAGGGTTTGGGGTTTAGGGGTTAAGGGCTTTAGGGTTTAGCGGTTTAGGGGTTTAGGGGTTTGGGGGTTTAGAAGTTTAGGGGCAGGCCTCGCCAGCATCAGGGCCTCAGCCCTCTCCGCAGGGGGCCCAGTAGGACCAAGGATTTCTCAGTGGCCCTGCAGGCGTTTAGCCTCCTTTCGGTGCTTGTTTAGGCTTTTGTGTTCGGAGTTTAGAGGGGATTTGGGGTTCAGGTTCTTCAGGGGGGGTTATAGTAGGGGTTTGGGGGTGCTGGGGGTTAGTAGGGCGGGTTGGGAGTGGGTGGAGGTGCAGCGCTTGGGTTTATAGGGTTCTGGGCGCTGGCTTTCAGATGACGAATCTATGTGTCCGATCTTTCTTGGAGGGTGGAGGAGGGTGGGTTGAATTTTCATCGGCGCGTGCCACGCAGCTGCCGGGATCTCGAGGGCATGCTCGTGGGGCTGGACACATGTTTAGAAGTTGTTAGGTACGGCCGTGGGTCTAGCGGTGCCGTTGACAATCTGAGTCGGATCGTGGATGATCGTGGCCACGCGAATGCCAGCACGAAATGACCCATAACTGCCCAAATCCCGAAGAGCTGTAAATCCCTGAACGAGGAGAAGCGCTCTGCAAAACGGTATGGAACTTTTGAACCTTCGTATCGCATTATGAAGAAGCTTTTGCGGAAAAGGCCCGAATCAATCGGGAGATCGTGGAAGAAAGATCCGGACGGTAAGATGAAGGATCCCACGGATTCCTGAGTTCCTTTTTCTTCGGCACTTGTCGTGCGATAAAAGGTTTAGATCAGATAGCCGATGGCAGAGCTTTAAACCTGTTGGCTATGTAAATCCAGTCTTTCTTCTAAGAAAGTTTGAACTTTCTTGGGCCCGGTTATTGAGGAAGAGCGAGACCGAAGCTACAGCATAATATAATGGCTTGAATCAGTACCAATACTGTTTTGAATATACCACGATTCCCATAGTTTAGGGTCCTTAAGGTCATGCAGGATTTATGTCATAAGCCGTAGTTATAGTATTATATTCTCATTATTAAGGCCCCTATATTTCTGAAATCGAGAGGGAAGTTGAGCCTTTACGGTTTCCTTTGTCAGACTCGAAGCCCAGCTATCTCCCGGCGCTGTATAACCGTAATAGCTATAATAACCCGATAACGCTAAAGCCCGTGACTCTATAAACCCTACACCCCTAAACCGTAAATCCTTAAATGCCTAAATCCCTCAACCCTAAACCCAGCTCTAGTTCAGGGCACCGCCTTCCCCGCCGCCTCCGAAGCCCAAAAAAGCTGCTGAGGCGTGGCTTTCGTGGTCTGAAACCCCTGAAAGGTTTAGAACTAAGGGCCTATAGAGGTTAGGGCTTATAGGGTTCAGGGTGTCTGCAACTCCTGAATCCTGAACCCTGAACCCTACCATCCCAACAAGAGCATTTCCTGCAACTCTCCGTGAATTCTAGCTTAGAACCTCCAAAGGAATCCACAATATAGAACCCTATGGAACCCTTAAAGGGGGCCCGATTATGGAATCCTAGCGTACCCGTAAAGCGGCACCCTATTACAGAACCCTTTAGTATAAAGGGGACCCGATTATAGAGCCCTGTAGTACCCTTAAGGGGTCCATCTTCTGGTCGGACTTCGTGTTCAGCGGTTTGGGGTTTAGGGTTTAGGGTAGGGTTTAGGGTCGTTCCGGGGGTACAACACGTAGGTAACATAGGTAGTATGGGGGTCTGAGTGACTGATGCTGCAGTATTCCTTACGGGGTTCTGTTGTATCTATGGCAGAACATACCCCACAGCCCAGTTCTAAGTCTTGAGCCCGCATCTTAAAACCTGTATATGCATGTTTCTTAAAGTTAGCACAAAGCTCATGCATAGAATCGCGCACAGAACTCCGGAAGAGACCCTATCCAATGCGTCAGGACTCTGCATGTAGTACTGTTGATGATATAAATCCTGCATTACCCATAATAGGGAATTACCACTATTCCCATAGATTAGGTCCCTAAATTTATACCATCAACCGTATCCTGCACAGA